CCACAACGCCTGAGCAGAGACAGCCCCAAATCTTGAGTCCTCCTGGCCTCCCTACTGGATGGGGAGAAGCAGCAGACTGACAAAGTGGTTGGGGAAGAACCAGCCTGGATGAACTATTCTGGGACTCTTGCTGGTCTCCCTCGAGTTCCCAGGCCCTGCTCTGTGTCCTGTCCTTAATTGGCAGCCTGGGAGACAGCGAACCAAGAGAGTTCCTTGTAACAGGCGTTGGAGAAAACCTGCCCTTTGACCGTCACTTCATTCAAATGCCAGGGCATCATCTTCTGAAGCTGCGGCGGCTTTGCTCCACGAAGAACTCTTGCCAAGTGCATGATGGGTGTGTGTGTGTGTGTGTGTGTGTGTATGTTTGTGTGTGAGTTCTGCCGAGCCCAATTTGCGAAGCTCCTAGACTCTTCCTTACCGTGTCAGCTTTCTTGATTTGGTTCCCCCAGGCAGGGCCGATGCAACGGCCGTGTCTGCCCCCCACCCGAGGAACCTTCTGGCCTCTTTGCTCATTTCTCCCAAATTCTGGCCCCAGCCACAAAAGCCACGTCACTGTTGTGAAAGCTTTAGAAAGGTGAAAGGGCTGCATTCAAGCAGCTTTTGGAAATTGGGGTAGGAGGTGGAAACCTGCAGCACTCCTCAAGCCTGCGTGGCTTTGGGAGCAGCAGCATCCAAGATTCCTCAAGGGGAACAGGGGGAGCCCCCCACCCCAATGCACCTTCCGGTTGCTCCCAGGACCATTGGTCACCAATGGTCACACCAGGTCCAGATTTTTGCCTTCACTTTTGTTTGGGGTGGATTTTATTTAGGTGAGCTTCTAGTCCTGTGTGCTCTCCTAGAAATTCAGACCCAGGAATGGGAAGTATCTTCCATAGGAGAGGGAACTTGTGAGTTTCATCCGGCTCAATGATACCTTGTGGTGGTTGAGGACACCTGGGGGATTCCTGGCCAAGGTGTAGAAGAACAGCGATGGGGGTGTTGCAGCAGCACTAGCTAATGACCGCAAAACCTTGAAATCCATTATTCACGGCTTCACCAAGCAGGCCTAAGAGTTTAGGCCTTCGGTATCCTCTTAGTAGCCCCAGCCAAGGACCTCTTCACCTTTGTGGTCACGATCCAAACAGGACTTTGGGTCTCCTGGGGGGCAGCCCAGTTTATCGAAACAGCCCCTTGGCTTCTCCATCAGAAGGAAGGGCGGGGGGCATCAGGCCTGAGCAGGGGGGGGATTCCTGGAGCTGCAGCACCCCCCGATTGCTTTTCTGCAGCACCAGCAGCAGCAGCCGCGTTTGGGTGGCAACCTGGAGTTAGCTTTGCTGGGGAACCTCAAGCGAACCCTTCCGGGGGATGTAGATCTCTCTGCTTGCAATTAGCAATCGCATTTCAGATCCCTCCTACACCCCCTTCGCCTTGGTGATGGCAGAGTGTTTCTTTGCCAAGGCTGAAAACATGATTTCCTCCTATTTCTCTTCTTCCTGCTTGCGCACAATGTTGTCTTGTATAAGAAGCATAAATCAAAGCCTTCTCTGGAAGAAAGCAAGTATATAAATCCTAATTCTTTCAACAGGGAGGAAAAGAGAGAAGACAAGGAGGGGCCTCTTGGTTGGTGTCTGCATTTCGGTCCCTCCTTGGCCCAGTTGTTTCTGAAAGGCGCTTGGAGTACCTGTCCTCCTGCCTTAACAAGTGACTCACTCCAGCATCAAAGAAAATGGTTTGGCAGTTGGGTGCTTCTTCTCAGGGACACCCCATTAACTCTCTCAATCCTGCCAGCCAGGAGGAGCGACTCTGAAACTCAGCTGGAGAATGGGGCCTCCGTTGAGAGGGTCAGCAACTTGGCCCTTTGGCCACATCTGGACTCTTCCTGGGTCAGGTTTACCACCCTTGGCCTGAAACATCAAGAGAAGGATGATCTCTGCTCCTTGGTCAACAGGTTGGTCAAGACTGGAAGACTGGTGGGCTTCCTTGGGCAGTTGGTTGGCCTCCGCAAGAAGGAAGTGCTGGACAAGATGGGCCAAGAATCCAGTCCAGCAGGAATGGCTTAGCCTCTTTATTCCCTGTCTGGAGTTGACGGTTATCGTAAGAGATGGCTGAGCTGCAGAAAGCTGCTGTATCTTTACATGGATTGTAATGATGAGTCATTGGTATCCGTCTCACCTGAAATAATGAGATGCTTAATGCTTAGAGAGGACAAGTCTAATTTTATTGACTTGAAAGTCTCTCTCTCTGCCTCCCTCCTTTGCTTAAAGACAGTCTCTCCTGCCCCTGAACAATTGTGGATGCGGCCCTCATTCAGTGAAAAATCATATTTCATCTCTCATCGTGGAAAGATGTTGGAAGTGGCATAAAGGCTAATAATCTTCCTCAATATTTGTACAGGCTCTTGGGGATAAATAATTCAACTGACATTCTCCATTAAATCTGACTTCAGAAAGCTTTTATGCCAGGATACAGTAGGACATAATGGCTCCTGTTCTTTTAAGTTTTCCTCTTGCAGCTCCTCCTCTCTTCCTCCCCTTCCTTCCTTTCCTCCCTCTCCTCTTCCCTTCCTCCTTTTTCCTTCCTTCCTTCCTTCCTTCCTTCCTTCCTTCCTTCCTTCCTTCCTACCAACCAACCAACCAACCAACCAACCTTCAGAGAACCTAATGGCATCCAATAAGTATGGAAAACAGATTATTTGCTGCAGCCAAATAACCCCCTGCTGCTTCCACTATATTTATACCACTGGCCCAAACAAACACCAAGTTATATTTGGAGAGTACTTAATTTCTTTTTTGAGCTGATGGGTTGTTGTTTTTTAATCAAGCCACATGACTTCCCTGTTTGCTTGTGTGCCTTGGTTCTAATCCTTGGGAAAGAGGTTGGGGTCAGAAGCGATTCCTTGTCCTCCTTGTGTGTCTCTCAATGTGGCTCGGACCCCTGAGGATACGCATGCAAGGGAAGACCAACTCCCAGAGGTCATTTCCCACATTAATCATGGAGAAAAGGCATGTCAGTGGAAAACAGGACCGACATCTGGCAAGGCCTCTCCTCCCTCCCTCCCTCCCGGAAACATGTCCTAGGAGAAGAATGAGAGAGAGACCGACCTACTTTGGTCATGCAAGAACCAGAATGGCTGCTTGAGATCCGCCCATCCGGCCTTCACGAAGCTAGTTTGGCCAACAGGTTGGGCAGGTCCAGGAGAAAGGAGCCGCATTTCACCTGTTGCTTGAACCCGGGGCCACCTGGATGCTTTGAGGATCACACCTTGGCACACCAGTTTGCAAGACTCCAAAGGGAGAAGCGACTCCAATTCAAGGCTAGATTCAACAACCAGCATTGGGGGGGAGAAGAACCTGAATAGAATCCCAGTTTGTGTTGAAAGATGGTCAGGGGCCATTCTGAGGGGGTGTCAGGCCAAGCCCTCAGATCCAGGCAAAAGATTGCTTGCAATTTTCACTCTTGGCTTTGCATTCGGGTGTCTCGCCCAGAGACCTCCCTTTAAACCCCCCACCCCCCACCAGCATTTTATATCAGCTCCAGAAACAAGCAATGGGGGGACCAGCAGACACCTGACAGGGCCCTTCCCCATTGGCTTTTCCTCCCTGCCAGGTGAAAAAATTGACGTTTCCTCTACTTGTCCCCTAATGTTTATTTTTGGGCTGGAACACAGCAGGCAGGCTTCCAAAATTCTTCTGTGGTCTACAAACAACAAGCCAACCTCTGCTGATTGGAGATCTTTAGGATTTAATTTAATTTAACTCACCCCTGAGTGCCACAAACAAAATTGAAACTTTTAAATAATTTACTATTTATTTGGTTTTTTTTTTTTCCTTCTTTTCCTGATGACTTTGGAAATCTCCTTTACTTTTCGTTGTGCACTTTTAAAAGTTCGGATTATTGCAACATTTCACCTGAATTCCAAAGGAAAACAGAGAGGGGGCGGGAAAAGGGGAGAAAATACAACGTCGCTTGAGTATATGTAAAATAATAATATTATTATTGTTCATCATAAAAAAGAGATTCTTTTACCCATAAGAAGAATTAATAACTTAATTGTTATTGCACTGGCTACAATTCAGTAGTGGTTTTGTTTTTTGGTTTTTTTTTTCCTTCCATTTTGTGGAACAAGGAGGACCAGAAGAAAGCTGGCAAGGCATGAAGTGGGCAGTGAAGGAAAACGAATGGCTGGAGGCCAACCTGAAAAGACGACAGTAAAAATGGTGACGGGTCCACATCGAATCTACGAAGAGGATCGGATGTGAATGCAGACGTGAAATAAAAGGGATCGAGCTGCCCTCCCATGGGAAGCCTAATCCAGCTGGAACTGGCGGGGTTGGGGTCCCTCCACGGCAGGGGTGTCCAACTTTGACCACTTTAAAACCTGTGGACTTCCAGAATTCCCCATTTCTGAGGAACTCTGGGAGTTGAAGTCCGCAGGTCTTAACCTTGCCAAGGTTGGATACCTTTGCTCGTAGGGATGGGGAAATGGAGGCGGAGAGCGAATTCACTGGTCTTCAGAGTGGACGGTGGTTGGTGCACAATGGTGAGTTAGGGGCGGTTGAGTTAGGGGCGCTCAGCGCCTCCGGCCGACATTTCTGGGGTCGTCCCGATGGGTGGGTTTTCTGCAAAAATATGCATCTGACGGAGAGCTTCCTTGTGGACATTTATGGGCTTGTGTCACGATGTGTCTGCCTGTGATGTGTGTTTTCTTCCATTTCTTTTTCTTTAAAAAAATCTCAAATACATGTTTTTTCTATTTATAGTAACTGCTGATATACAGAACAATATACAACTCGCTTCTGCCTGGTCAGGTGCGCTTCCCGCGACCGCTTTTCGTGCAATAAGAAAAGGTGCCCTTTTGGAAAGAAAGAAAAAAGAGAGAGAGTTTTTCCGAACCAACCCCGGGTTGCCTTTAGAAAAGATAAAAGAAAGGTCTGCAACCCCCCTGGAGGGGTCCGAGGCCACGCTGGGTGAGGGGGAAGGGGAGGAAGAGGGAGGAAAAGGGACGTTGGAACAACTTCTCCTTGTGCTGGGTGGGAAGGAAATCGGGTTCCTTCCGGTTACCCCTGAACCGCTTGGGACGCCTGGAGCTTCTCTGGGACTTTGGTTCCATTTCTACACTAACCGGACCTTCACAGCGAGGAGAAACCAAGGGTCTGGGCGGGGGGGGGTAAGCATCAGCCATGGAGAGGGTGGCTTTCCAACCTGTTTGCCGCTTCGAAGCCACGTGTGGTGGCAAAGCCCTTAAAGTTCACCAAAGACCACCCCCCCTTGGAAGCTATACCGGCTCGTCCACAACCTCTTCTGTGTCGCTTGGGGTCCCTGGAACCTGTCCGTGTTGCGGGAGGGCACAATTCCTGCCCCCTCCAAGGTCTTCTTGGTTTGGCTCAGGGGGGTCGCCAAGAGTCTCCAAAGGGTCTGTTTGCTGCAGCTCCGGACCCTCCGGTGGGGGATCCACAGAGGGGCCCGCAGCTTGGTTGCTCTCTGAGAGGCGTTCGCAGGGTTCACCCGTGGAACCAGGGTCCGTTGGCTCGTAGGAGAAGCTCGGGATGGTTAAATGCTCCCCTCGGCAGGCCAGGGGTGCCCAGCGGTCTGCCTTGCAGGCCAGTTCTCCAGGCTGACCCTCGGCCAGCTCCGAGGGGTCCCTGTAGGCCGTGGACTCGCAGGAGGGCGTCCTCCGTCTCAGCAGGCTGTTCTCAGAGGCTTTGTTGCGCGTCGTGGCGGGGCTGCTTTCTTCCTCCACGGGAGGGTCGATAGAGATGCAGGGGGGGCTCATTTTCTTCTTCCTCCGGATGCCATGCAGGTACTCGGACTCCGACTGCATCTGGAGAGGCAGCCTCCTCCTTTCAGAGGCATCTGCGAAGCCGCGATCCCCGTGGCCGACCGAAGGGCAGATCTCAATGGAGTGCCGTCGCTGGTCGTCCGCCCACGTCGGCTTGGCCAAGAACCCCCGGGTGTCCACGCTGTAGAACTTCTTCAGGTCCTTGTCCTTGCCCTTCCCCATGGTCAAGCTGGTTGTGCTGCAGTTCCTGAAGGGGACGGGGGAGGGCGCCGGGGAGGCGAAAGGGGACTCCGGGCCATCCTGGCTCTCCAGCTGCGCCCCCCAATCCCCGGCGGAGCTGTTGATGTGGCTGACCTCTTCGTCCGCCAAGTCGGAGGACTCGAAGAGGGAGCTGTCCAGGATGCTGCTGTGGGTGGACATCCTGTTTGAGATGCTGTGCTGGCTGAAGGTTTCCCTGGGGGCAGGGATGTTTGAAGGGCGGGGAGGGGAGGGGTGGGGGAGGGGAGGATTGCCTGGGAGGGATGTGGGGGCTGGGGGAGGCTGAGGATCCCCCAAAATACTGTGAGACAACTTTTTCAGGGGTGGGTTTTCACGGGTCTCTGCCTGGGCGCACTGCTTTGTCCCCACCACTGAGCTCTCCAGGGAGTCCTTCCGGACGGCCTCCTGCAAAGCAAACAGATCAAAACAATAGAAGCATTTCCAACACAAGGAGGCCACGTGCATCCAGGAATGGTCCCGTGTTTCGAGGCAGTTGGGGTTCACAGTCCTGTCTTCTCGGGGGGCTCCTCTCTGAAGCGTTGAGTTAGCATAGAAATCCAGGGGAAAGCAGACAGGTCAAAACTGAGCTGGGCCATTTCCGGGAAACGCCCCTTTCATGGAAGTGACTTCTCTGATCCCACCTGTGGATGCCTGCCAAGCAGTCGGCCACACCCTCTGCCCTGCCAGCATGCAAGCTTCTACCTGCACTGGCTGAGAGCATCATGGCAGCATTGCCTCGTGTGACGCGGAAGAGCCAGAGGCTGAGGGGCCGATCCCGCAGTTGGCTGCCTCGGGAGTCAGAGAGGCGTCTGCCAGTGGGGGGGGGGGGGGGGGGGGGGCCGGGGGGGGGCGGGGGGGGGGGGGGGGGGGGGCTGCTGACTCAGCAGAGCAGCGTGGGAATGACCGACAAGGGCCTGGCTCCAGACAGAGCACTGAGGCTGGGGGCACATCGGAAGCCTCTCTGTCTCCTTTCATCTCTGTCCTAAACTCTGGGCTCCGTCCTCCTGCACTGTGTCCGCTCTACAGCCCTTGACGCCACAGAGTCTCAATCAGAACACAGCTGGAAGGGGCCACAGAGGTCTTCTAGTCCAACCCCCTACTCAAGCAGGAGACCCTAGACCACTCCAGACAAGGGGCTGGCCAGACTCTTCTTAGAAACCTCCGCAGCCTCCGAAGGTCAGCCGTTGCCTCTGTGCTTCCTGGCCCTGAATATGTTTCCCATCCCTTTCTGCCTCCCCTCCCCCCACTCGAGAGCACCTGGAGACCAGGAAGCTGACCTGTCTGCACAGCAGCCTGCTGAAGCTGGGGGTGCGAGGGGCAGGGCGAGGGGGTAGAAGCTTCCACGGAGCTCCCGTGTTGTGGCTAGGAGGGGGTGTTGTTGGGCGGAAGGCCAACTGTGGGATCCTCAGTGACGAAGTGACCACCGGCTGAGAATGGATGGATGTGACAGATCCTGGAAGAACAAGGAAGGAGATGATTCATTCCCCAGAAATTCTCCTCTTTCTTTCATTCAAAGCTGAACTAATGTCTGAGGGAAGCCCCTGTTTCCTCTGGTGACCCTTGTGGGGTCTCCCACCATCTCCAGGTGGGAGGCCTTCCTCTTGGCAGAGGGGAGGTCCGCCCTTGGGTGGAAAGCCCGAAGCAGTTCTTGGCCTCAGCTCTAGGCACCCCTTGCTTTGGAAGTTGCACACGACACGTGACAACCTAAATCGGTTGGCAGGAAACGCCGCAGGCCCCGATCCTGACTGCCTTACCTCGGGGTGACTTGCAGGCGAAGGCTTCTAGCTCCCCTTCGTGGAGTGGGAAGGGAGGCTTGGCGGGCATCACAGGGCGGAACATGTAGCTGTCGTTGGGCAGTGAATGCATCCGTGCCACTGAGATCTTGCGAAGGGTCAGAAGGTTCTGGGGGTCCCTGAGACCAGCAGCAGAAGCTCCCTGCAAGTCGGCAAGAAAGGAGGCTGAGATGGTGGGGAAATTGGGGACCGGTAATTCTCGGCAGCTTTGAGATACGTGCGTGGCGGGGTGGTCAGCAAACTGGCTTTCTGAATGAGTGGAACTGCAGGACGGTCCTTTAGCTTGGCTTGCTTAAAACCCGACAGGTGTCCGAGGAGGAGGAGGAGGAGGAGGAGGAGGAGGAGGAGGAGGAGGAGGAGGAGGAGGGATGGGGGAAGCACACCTAGACACGGCCCCCAAGAGACTCAACCCCCTTCTCTTCCATGCCTGGGGAAGGAAGCTCCTTCGGGCTCCTTCTCTAGCTTTTTACCATGACTTGATGCGTCACCAGCAGGGGCGAACCCCCCTTGGAAGGGGTCTGTTGCCCATCCATGGTCCTTTCTGGTGTGCTGACCCCTCTGGACATCTCCAGCTCAATCTCAGCGTCCATCTCGGCATCTTCCTTCGCCTCCTTGTTGCTTTCCTCCAAGTGCTTCATCAGGACGGCCACCACCACGTTGACCAGGACAAACTGGGCGATGAGGACGAAGGTGACGAAGTAAACAGGGGAGATGACGGGCAGGTAGCTGAGGCAGTGCTTGTCATCCCGGTGGCATTCCCGGAGGGTGTCCTGGAAGGAGGACAGGAAAGCAAGGAGGTTACTTCAGGTGGATAAGTCAACTGGGAAGGAACCTTCATGTCCCTGTAAGGTTTCTCCCAAAGATTCAGCATTTAGAGGTGAGCAAACATGGAGGTTCACTGAGCAATAATGGAACTAAAGGCCCATCTGCCCAGCAACGGCCAGCCAGAAGTCTTTGGGAGCAAATATGGGTGAAATGGATGCAAACGTTTTCTCCAAGCTCATCGCAACCTCAATGGCATCTCTAGGGCCATCGTGGTGAATGTCCAGGAAAAGGCTCTTCTCCTCTCTGGATCTTCTAGTTCCCTTTCCAAGGGGTGCAGACTGGGGGCTCTCATTAAATGGAGACCAGGACTCCCACAGATTAATTTTACCTTGTGTAAAGCCTTATTTCCCCCCTCAGAATGGGGCATCTATTTGGGGTACATTTTCTCTATGTTGATCTTGGCTTTTATTCTAGGCAAATAATACACGGAGCTGGTGGAGCAGGGTGGCCTTGAGTCTTCTCTACCACCAGTGTTGGAGATGAGGGCCACAGTCGACTCAAGCTATATCTCAGAGTGACGTCTAAAGTCAACTCAAAGTACAGCCATGGGAAGACAGCTCTGCCGGGACAGGGATGGGGAGGCCTTACCTTCATGATCCCATTCCAGTTGTCCCCAGTGGATACCCTAAAGAGGGTGAGGAAGGCCATCCCAAAGTTGTTGAAGGTAGCATGCCGACTGAGGCCTTCACAAGGATTTTCTTCGCTGCAGTCTATGAAAGAGCAAGGATGAGCCCACTCTTACCTATCAGCTTGGAGAAAGTCCAATGATGGCTTGGAGGTAGCCGAATCTTCCATCATCTGACTCCCAACATTACCGTTTTCTGGGAAACTCCTTCTCTTCTTCATTTGCTTCCTTCTGACCCTCCCCTGCTTCTCTGGAGATACCCACCAGATTCCGGCATCCCCCTTGCCTGGTTGCCTGGTCCCTGGTGGGAACTTAGTTGAGCTGGACAACGGCGAGGTTGGGGTTCTCTCATCTCATGCAAGCCATAGGAACATCTGGCTACGTTCTTCCCTTTCAGCAGAGATAGGATGTTCTCTGGAAAGTCTGGCTGGCATATTAACAGGGTCACCAAGCAACAGAAAAAGGAGAGGAAGACTCACCTAACTTCCCAAATAATTCTACCCCCAGGGCAGCGTAGATGAAGAAAAGGAGCATGAATAGCAGGCCGAGGTTCCCCACCTAGGAAAGGAGAGCGTCAAAAAGTCAGAAATAAGCTGATACCATCTTGCTTAGGTGGGATTTCCTGCTTTAGCCAGAACAGCGGAGTTTTTCCCCCACCTGGTGTCCCCTGGGCAGCTCTAGGGAGGATGGGCAATGACTCACGCAAACACAACTGGGGGAATGAAGGTGTCCTTGCATCTTACATCCACCTGAATCTGCTGCAGAAGATCTCCACTAAGCAAAAGGCGCAAACTACACCTGTATGGGGGCTATCCAGCTTGCATGCGTTCCCAAAGCTTGCAAAGATCTGTAGTGCTCTGTCCCTTCGGGCCGCCTTCAACAGGAACCTAAGACTGAGCGTGAAGGACATGAACATGACTGGTGAAACTGGGCTGGGTCTACGGAGAAGAAACTTTGCCCCTCGGCTGTTTCCTAAGGGCTGGACATTGACACTGTTCTGTTCTGATGGGCCTCTCCAGCTGGGTTACGGCCGCAGAGGGAATTCCCAGAGCTTAGACTGGCAACGAGAGCCCCGGAGAAGACTTGGGGCCAGATAGGGGGGACTCCTATCAGCGGGGTCCTTCTTAATGCAGCATTCCCTGCAGGATGCAACGCAAGACACGCCCTGTCCCCTTGCACCCCACCCTCACCCCCAGGCCCCTCTGCCCCTGAACCGTGTGAAAGATCCTTGATGCCAAGAGAAAAGAGCCAGGTACCAGAATAGCAGAGTTGGAAGGGACCTTGTAGGTCATCTAGTCCAACCCTCCGCCCAAGCAGGAGACCCTACACCATTTCTGACAGATGGCAGTCCAGTTTCTTCTTGGAAGCTTCCAGGGGTGAAGCTCCCACTTCTGTTTTTACAACCTCTTCCCCTTGTTGAGGGGTTCCTGGTGCTCTCTGAGCTCGCTGGTTTCCCCGCAAATGTCTCATCACTCAGACCAGGTCACATCATCAGTGCTAGTGCATTGACTAGCACTGACAATGTTACCCAGTTGGGTCATGAAACGTCTGCAAGAAAACCAGGGAGCTCAGGGAGCACCAGGGACCCCTTGTTTCAACTCTGGACCACCAAGATTCTCCTGTGCTGATTCTCCTTCCCCTTCTTGCTTGATATTCCGAAGCCACAGGCAAGAGGACTTTATCCCATCATAAATAATTATCGGCTCTTCCTCGGTGCTCTGCAGACAAGAGCCCGGAAGCAGAAGTGGCTGTTCTCCTGCTGGGAACCTTCAGCCACTTGAGAGGATGACAGCTTGACAATGTCAGGGCTTAAACAAGAGTGTAAGGCACTTCAGGAAACAGCGGTTTCCTTCTGCTAAGAGAGAGAGAGACAGAGAGAGAGGCCGGGGCGGCTAAATTACAGTGAAGTTCGCTGCTTTTGGGGGACATAGAAAGAGAGGCGAAGTCTCTTCTCCAAGCTTCAGGTTAGAGGTGGGTGAGCTCACCTGGTGGAAAACCCTAAGTCTATTTCAAGGGCCTCAGGAACCGTGGAGAACTGCCCACCCAGAGTCCCCCAGATTTTCCCACCCGTAACTGCCTTGCAGCAAAGGTTCAGGGGAGAGAAGCTCATGCGGCCTTGCTCACCCACCCACCCACCCCCGGTTCTTGGGGTGCAACAGGCGGATAGAGGGGGAGACCCTGCTCTCCACCTGGATTGTAAGCAGCCTCGAAAACGCTCGCAGTCAATTTACGCAGCCGCTTTTCAGCTGAATTTACAGGACTGTCGAAATGCAGGTTTTCCCAGGCTGGTGCTTGAGTGGTTAACCCTTGGGGAAATCCCGTGTCCTGGGAGATCCTCAGCTGCAGGCCGGATGTGTGCAGAGCCCTCACCCGAAAAAGGAAAGAGGGGTGAGGAGGGGGGTGAGCAGAGGCGCTGGTGGGGATCGGAGAGGGCAGCGTTTCCATTCAGGCACTGAATGTTTATTTATTTTTATTATTGTTTTGGGGGGTGGGGAGGAGAGGATCCTTCAGCATTTTTTCCCACCCTTGTCCCACATCCGCTCCACTATCTCTCCAGCACGTGGGCAGCCTGCAAATGTATTCCAGAAGGAGGGCAGAGTTTCTCGGGTCTGTTTTTGTCCCCAGATGCTCCTTCCAATGTCACCCTCAACTCAACTGCTGGAGCTTTTGGTGCAGGCTGAAGCTGAGCCCCAGAAGGCTTTGAAGGGGGGTGTGAAAAAGTCAGCTCCCCTTCATGCCCCCCTTCGTGGCAGAGGTGTGTGTGTGTGTGTGTGTGTGTGAGAGAGAGAGAGAGAGAGAGAGAGAGGCCTTGCCTGGCTGAGACTGGCTAAGAGCATCCTCCGAAAAGCCTCTCGCTGGCTGCGGGTTTTGCCTTGTCCCCCACTGTGGGGGTTCAGAGCACTAGGAAGACTTTTCTCAGGGTGGCTGTCCACAAGGCATGGGCAGAGTGCAAAGGAGACCATGAGAACATCTACGCCGTGCCACCCCAGAGACAGACAGAACTGAGGGGTGACCCTGGCTGGTCTTTCGTTGATGGGAGTGCGAAAGGTGAAGCCAGCTTTGAAAAAAGCTTTAGAACTTGGGGACCCAAAGCCATCGACTCGTTATCTCCAGTGCCGAGTTAAAAAGTAAAAAGAGACAAGAGGACAACATTTTGAGCTGCTGGAAGTGGTGCCCTCAGTGCAGTTGGGAAATAATGTTTGGATATATCCCTCTGGGCGTGTCATTTCTTTTTCTCTTGGGCCGAGTCAAAATTGAACATTTTTGGGAAGCTGGAGGCATGGGAGTTGAAAATATATCAGCAGGAGGAGGAGGAGGAGGAGAGGGTGGGGACCTGATATTTAAAAGAGAAAGGAAAATTAGCACCTGCACAACTTTTACCTGGGGGAGGGCCTGAACCACCGTGTCCAGCAAGGCCCGCATCCCTGTGGCCATTTTCAGCAGCTTCAGCACTGGAAAGCAAAGGAAAGAACCATGAACCTCCCTGTTGAGGGGGGGCAGATACTTCTGGGATGCTCGGAGAGACCCTCACTCGGAGAAGCCCCTCACCTCTAGCAATCCTGAGCACCCTCATGATGCGGATAATGGTGGGGTTGATGGGGAGGGCGGCGTTCATTTCGATCTCCTCCAGCGTGATCCCCATGATGGAGAGCAGGACGATGGCCAGATCCAGCTGGTTCCACCTACAAGGGGGCAGGCGCAGGGGCTGAGCTGAGTCAGCAGCCTGCAACAGCCCCATCCCCCCCGCTCCCCCAAATGACCAAAACGAGCCCAGAAGAACATCTCCAACCTGTCCTTGAAGAACCTCCGGAAGCCAAAGGCCACCAGTTTCAAGATGGCTTCGACCACAAAGACGAAGGTGAACAAGTAGTTGCAGTATTTCAGGGCCTCTTCTAGAGACTGCGAGGAAACACAGGAATTGAGGTGGGGGTTTATTTAGGGTCCCCGGATGACTGTGTCAAAGGAATTGAGGAACGGGGTCTCCCCTAGCAGTTCGCAGACGGGACCGTGTCATGGGACCCCTAGACAAAGAATCACCCCTTGTCCTTCACCATGGAAGTTCCACCAGGATCCACCTGAGACTTTCCTTCCTACCTGCCTTCCCAAGAAGTTGCCACAGACTCCTGGCATTCAGCCCTTGCAGGTCTCTCCTGAACTGCCAGTCCTGCATCCCCCCAGGCCACGAGAGAGGCAAGAGAGGCTGCCTTTACCTTGGGCTGATCAAAGTGCTCCATGGACATCGTGATGACGTTGACGCCAATGATAAAAGTGATGAAAAGGTCCAGGTAATGGCTGGTGCAGAGCGAGTGGATGTATTTCCGGGCGGGTGAATAATCGGCATAGTACGGCCGCCGTTGAGCTTCTGCGGGGAAAAGCCCAACAAGGACCCATCAGCTTCTGGGAGCCTCCTGGGCCTTTTCCAATGCAAGCCATGCTGGCATGCAAAACCATGCGAGTTCTGTCCAAGGGGCATGCAGTCCATGGCTCTGTGGATTGTGGGTTTTGTAGTCGAGGCCATCCAAAGGCCGTGGTGCTCCTCCTCTGCCCACCAAGACACAGAGATGGACTCTGTTATGCTTCAGTGTTCTTGGAGGTGAGGTGAAGATTTGCAAGCTCACTAAACCTTTGTCTTAAAAGAGGTCTGGGGTCCTGCCTTTCCCAAAACCACAATTTTGGGGTGTTTTATGAAAGGAAAGCCCAAGGGGCTTCTTGGAAACAAGAGAGGGAGCAATGATAGATTAAAGCCACACAGCAACCAAGGAATCCCATTCCCTTTCACATGTGTGGACCCTCACAGCTTTCCCCAAGCTGGTGCTCTTTAGCGACATTGGGGTTCAGTGCCCATAATTCCCAGCCAACAAGGATTATGGGGGTGAAATCTAATGCACCTCAAGGCACCAGACTGAGAGAACCGGGCACAAGAATGGAAAAGTAGAAATCTCGTACTGGAGGCTTCGTTAAGATCAGAGTTGTCCAACCTTAGCAACTTTAAGACTTGTGGACTTCAACTCCCAGAAATCCCCAGCTGCCTGGGGAAATTCTGGGATTTGAAGTTCATAAGTCTTGAAGTTGCCTAGTTTGGACAACCCTCGTCTAGATGCAAGGGTGGCATTCAAAGGTTTTAACAACCAGTTCTGTGGGCGTGGCTTAGGTGGTGGGCATGGCTTGGTGGTCATATGACTGGGTGGACATGGCTTGGTGGTCATGTTATTGGCTGGGTGTGGCCAACTCAATATCACTCACATCGAGGCACGCATCTCCTCGCCTGGCCTCTCATGACAACAGTTGTAAGTATGGAAAATGGTCATAAGTCACTTTTTTCAGTGCCACTGTAACTTTGAAGGGTCACTCCACACAAGCAAAGTACCAGCAAAGGAGGGGGGAAAAAACTCCAGAGAAGTTCCTGAGACAGGATGTCTAGTCCTGCCAAGAGTGTAATAAGGGTTAACGGAGAGGCAGTTTCTGTCAGCAACCCCAGAATGTTTCCTTCCTGCCTTCCTTACAGGATTAGCCCAGTAATTTCTTCTAACAACCGCTTCTCTGAATTGCTTAGAATGTTAACAACTGGTTCTGGCGAATAGGTGCGAACCTGTAGAATCCCACACCTGTCTAGATGATTTGCTGGTTTTAGCATTGCGGTGTTGTTTAGGACGTTTTCCACCCCTTTTGGAAATCCTCACAAAAATTCAGAATTCTGCCTGTTACTCTCAGCCCAAGTGAGCACAATTTTTCCCATTTGATTCTGGGAGATGCAGGCAGCTGGTTGTTAGAAGAGAGAGAGAGAGAGAGAGAACGGAAAAGACCGGGTAAACCGGAGTTCGCCTAATTCCTCCAGGGGCCCACCTAGTCATTTGCAATCCTCTGTTTCCTGCCCTCGACCCTTTTAATGCCTCCCTGCCAACTGTTACATCGCCAAACGTTTTGCTGATGCAAGACACCGGCCGATCGGAATCTGCAAGCGGAACTAATTGCATCAAAAGAAACCCAGCTGACTGGTAACCCTCTGGCTATTAATCCCTCCCTTCCCTCGATGGCTAAAAAGGACATTTAAATGTGTGTGTGTGTGTGTGTGTGTGTGTGCCTGTGTTTTCCAGGCAAGTGGTTTGAAAGCCTCCCAAAGCAAGCAGGTTTTTCTCTTTCCTGCCTGGCTGCCTTTAGCTCTCAGGGTAATTGGCAGGAGTCCCTCAATCGGCTCCTGAAGCCGCACACGGCGGGTGGGCAGCATGCCACGAGAAGGGCTAATCCTAGCGAGGAGGCATCTTGAAGCACGGGGTGAATTTTGATCCCTGGGAGGAAAGGAAAGAGGGGCTGGGGGGGTGGGGAGGGTCCGAGGAAGAGGCAGGGCTGCTGTGAGAGCTCTGCTTGAGCGCCATGTGAAGATGGAAAGAAGGCCCCAAAGGGAAGGGCTGCCCCCCTTGACTGAGGAGTTTCCCAGGAAAGCCAACCAGGCTGTTTTCCCTTGAAGACATTTGGCTTCTCATCCAAGAAGCTTCTTCAGTTCTGACTGAATGGTGGAGCATGGAAGGGTTTATATTCATTGTAGTCATCATCTGGTCATCAGTCAGAACTGAAGAAGCTTCTTGGATGAGAAGCAAAATGTCTTCAAGGAAAAACAGCCTGGCTGCCTTTCAAAAAAGCACCTTTTGGGACAGCCATGACCCGGAGGACGGAGAATCTCCAAAGAAAACATGCGGGGTTGGTTTTTCAGATGCGATCTGAGCAGCTCACTGGCTCACAGTGAAGATTTTCTAGGCTTGGAAATGCTAGCCTTCTCTCCTGGAGATGTTGGGCAATACAAAGGATTCTGAACTCAGTCAGGGCCACGAACCAGATCAAAACTCCAAAGTAGGTAGAACTCATTTGGAAGCTTGGGTATCAAGCTCTGGTGCCATATCTCTTGGTCACCGCCGAGGCCTCGAAGCAGGAGCATCAGAGGAAACTCCATGCTCAGAGAGGATCTTCTAGCTGGCAATGACCGTTTGCCTGAGCATTGTCTCAGGGAACCCAGAAGAGCCAATGTCCTCAGTCCCCAGGAACCGTCTCTCTTTGACCTCGGAAAGTCTGGTCCCTCCTCACCTTGTGGGAAAGAGAGATTCACGGGGAGCTCTCCGAGGTGCTGCAACGGATGGTCTACCTGTCCTATTTGGCCTTTTAGGGGCAAATATCCTGCTTGTTTCCATCCCATCCTTTCTTCTTTCTCTTCTGATCCTTTGCTGTTGGATGACCCCATCAGTGTCTAACTCACCCAGGTCAACAACTACCCATTCACTTCCTGCCTTTGAAATACTGGACTGTGGTTCTTGCTGAGTGTTAGGGGTCTGTTGGGGCTTATTCTTATCTTGTAGGTGCTGAGAGGATGCCCTCAAGAACAATTCTAAGGACCACAGCGGCTAACCTCTGCTCTCCTTAAGGAAAGTTTTGATGAATTCTCAACATGCTCCTCCAGGGTTCTCCAGAAAAGAATCCGAAGGCCAACCTCCCTTGAGGTGATGCCCTGCAGATCTCTAGAACTACAATCATTCTAGATGAGGATTAGGGGAATTATAGCCCAAGATATTTGATAGGCTCCAGTTTCAGGTGAACGTGTTGCTTCAATAGAGAGATACATGACAAAGTGGTGGTCTCCTTCTGACGCACAGGTAGAACACACAGACATTACACACAAGCTGAAGAAAAAGGACACCAGGGATCTTGGTTGATCTCCCAAATAGATCACAGCCAAGCAGAAGCTCTGGAGAGAGCCCCAGCATGTGAGCAGAAGGAACATGCAGTTACATTGAAAGTACACTGATGACATAGGAAAAAGCACGACACCCATGTCACACCATGCATGCAATGTCCATTAGAAGAGATGCCAATCCATGCACTGCAGAAGGGGGATACAGAAGGTGCCCGGGGAGACATAAGCTATTTGGTGAGCATAACTGCCCTCTTGATTACGGGGTCGTAGAACCAATGCACAATCCCACTGAAGCCAACGCTTACGCTGTTGCACAGACAAATAGGGGACAAACTCAGACAATGTCTTGTTCTAAATGCTTTTCTGTTCCCCATTGCTTCGTTTTATGACGCTTAGGGCTGGGTCAAAAGCTCATGGGGGTCATAGCAGAAACCTGGGGTCAAGATTCCATCTGGGAATCAGATCCTTGGGTACAGAATGCGTCCCTGTGTTCAGAAACTTCCAGATCTTCTACTTGTCACCTTTGGGTGGTGGAAAACATGGGCACACGTCATGTGCCACATATCCTCAAACTATGTCCTTTGCATCCCTTGCTAGCAGGGAGAAACGAATCTTCTCTGACCTTCTTCCATGGTCCAATCGACTTTCCTACCTGCTTGGCTTTCAAAAGCCAGGGACTTGTGTGGACTTTGGCCAGAAAGACGGAGGTTGCAGCTACCACCCAATCACAGAGGCCACTGGAGGGCTTTGGACCCATCGGTTTCCAGTCCTGCCCACCCCCAAATCTGTAATTATGTCTCTTGGTCCAATCCCTGCTTTACAACGCCTTCCTATAGGATTGCATTCCCACCATCCCTGGAATTCCTCATCTAACACAGGGGACTCCAAACTTAACAACTTCAAGACTTCTGGACTTCAACATAGATGGCTGAGGAATTCTGGGAAGTCCATAAGCCTTAAAGTTGCCAAGTTTGGAGACCCCTGCTCTCACACTCCAGTTTCCCCCTCTAACCAGCCCCCTGGCCTGTTGCTGTCACTGGCAAGGAATAGCCTTGTCCAACCTCTGGTCTCTCACAGACATACCCCATCGAGCCACCCAGAAGCGACAGAGTGTCAGCCACACACTAGATCTTTCTGAGCCCTCCAATTTTCTTTTTGAACATATATGCACCCTAATCCCTTGAATGAAAGGAGAACCCAAGAACCTGCCTTCTTCCAGGTGGCCTCTTGGCTTATCTCAATGAATAGAGTGTAGGTTGCTATAGAGGTCCTGACTTCCAGGTCAACATTCTTTCCTGGTCCTTCTTGGAACCTCAGGAGATAAGAAGTCCTGGGCCTTCTTGCATGCCAGGAGGGTTTTCTGTTGAGCTACAAACCCCTCCCCCCATCTCAAAATCTTTCCTCACAACCTCCATTTCTCTGGTTTCACCCACTTTGTCCCGAACGTCTGAGCTGCTTCTCCTACAACTCACCGTCTCCTGGTCTCCTTTCAACCAACATATTTTCCCCACTGTTGCTTCTTTTTTCTATTAAACGCTCCTGCCATCCAACCCTAATATCTCTCCCCTTCTTGACTTTCCTCTCTGTGGTATATCAATTCTTAAGCCCCCTGGGCAGGTAGTACAAAACTTCTATTTTTCTGTTCAGCGCACTGTTGAAATGGGAAGGGGAAAAAACACATTTCAGAAAATGATTCGGTTTCTGCCTCGACTCTGTGCAGAAGCCTGACCGGAGGCCCCCTTCCGTCTACCGAGATCCTTTACAGGCTGAACGTGCATCTCTTTTAATGGAGTCCATTTAGGGGAACACTTGTTTCCTGCCCTTGAAAAGGGGAGGCCTCCTCATTCCTTCCCTTCTGCTGGTTTTCCACATGCAGGGCCCACGGGCCAAAATCCTCCAGGAAATTTGCAGTCGCTTTTTCCCTGAGGCCCTTTGGTGATGCTTTAAGTCAGCTGAAGTCTTCTTCAGACACAAGGCAAAGCTAGGAGATCCGACTTCACTCACTGGCGATTTGGGGGTTCCAGCAGAGGATCAAAAGCCAGGCCTTAGGAATAGGGAGGCTTGCTCCTTTGAGACCCCCAAAGTTATGGTTCCTCTGCAGGGAGTCTTCCTTGGGTGCCCTGGGAAAACAAGACTCCCAGGGAGCCCCTGAAACCTGGCTGCAAGGACGGAGGAAGGGGGTGCTTTTGCAAGCATATCTGATTAGAGCTTTGATTTGACAAAACGGGGTCCTATAAAGCAGGGAGGACTTGGATATCCTTTCTGCTCTAGGACTTTTCACATCAGATGTTGATCTGTCTAGTTGTCTAAAATCCAGTCTAAGTGATGATGTCTGTACACGCTTTCCATCTTAGAATATTCTGAGTTCCAGGACTTCAGGAAAACTTTCTGCTTGGCCCCCTACCCACAATTCTTTCCAGATGTATGTTAATATTTATACTTCGTTCTTCTTGTAAGAACTATTTGCAACCATGGGGTGGGGGCCGGGTTCTGTTTCGCTCACAAGCTTAAGCCCATCGGTGCTGCCCTGAATCTCCTCCACCCCCTCAATTTCAAATGGCAAAAGAAATGGCAGGGTCACCTCAAAAATTTCAGCCTCCCTTGGGGTTAAACTCTCAAGGCCAAGAATTAGAAGGAGACACCTTGGAGCTCAAATCTTTGTGGTTCTGAAGAAACTAGTACAGGAGGATATTTGTAGATCAGGGTTGAAACGATCAGGGGTCCTTGGTGTCCCTGTGCTTGATGGTTTTCTTGCAGACACTTCATAACCTTCCTAGGTCACATCATCAGTGCAAGAAGAGAGAGGGCTTTGTGGAGAGGAGGAGGAGGAGGAGGAGGAGGAGGAGGAGGAGGAGGAGGAGGAGGAGGAGGAGGAGGAGGAGTGAAGGATCCTTTGTGCTCTCTGAACTTGGTCATTTTCTTGCAGACATTTCACTACTCGAACTAGTAATATCATAGCCCTGTTTAGTATCGATGAGTACCTAGTTTGGGTAATGTAATGTCTGCAAGAAAATAGCCAAGCTCGAAGAGCCCCAGGGAGCCCTCCGAAGGAACTTGCACCCAATACCTGCTTTGGGGGACTGTGCTCATGATTCCTATCCATGCTGAGCTGGGACGTTAAGAGAGGAACCTCGTGGATCAGAGAAGAGAGGATGGGCTACCTTCTGGCTCTTAAAGCATCTCCAAAGATGGGAAGGAAAAAGGTCTTTTGGGGTCCCATCACCAACCCGAAGAAAACCAGGCAATAAGGAGGAAGGTCGAGATGGGCGTTGGGAGCAGCAGGCAAGTGTCAGAAAGATTGTGATTGTACCGCTGTCTACCGACCAGACATGTATATCGCCTTACTCCTGCGCTTTTTCTCCAGACGCCGCAGCCGTTTCTCCTCGCGCCGCCGGGCCTCCTCAGCCTCCTGGTGCTGCCGACACTTGTGGAAGTTCTCCACCACCACGCCGACGAACATGTTGAGCACAAAGAAGCTGACGATGAGGAGGAAGGAAATGAAGTAGAGAAGCATCCAGAGGTTATGGTTCCGGCTGGGCTGGCGAGGCGGCCAAAAGGCAGCAGGAAGAGGGGAGAGATGGGGGGTGGGGAGACAAGGAACAATGGCGTATGAGCACAATGGAGATGGAGCCCACCCTCAAGATGAGTGGCTGCCAAGGTCCAGGGAGGGGCAACCTTTCGACCGCCAAGGGTCGAGCCTGGCCGTTGGGCTCCAAAACAGCTGGACCTTCCTGGAAAAGGTGGCATCTTGACCAGCTTACTGGTCAGGGCATCCTCCCCCATGAAATGTGGCCAGGATGCCCCCGGGGCATAATCAACTAGCTTAGCTCAGCTGCCTTAAATAGTTGCATTCTCTTTTTGGAATATCGCCTGTTTGAGTTATTTCTGATTTCAGTTGCATGTTCTGCACCCCGACAGGATAACAACGGGGAGTCTAAAATTAAAAAAAAAACCCTTCAAAGAGAAGACTTCATACTGAGAGGAAGGGAACTTTCCAAAAACAGTTTGGATCTGATAATTCTTGACTATCTTTGTTTTGCTTTTAAACTTAGTTGCACTGCAGGATGTTAAGTCATTTCAGACAAATTTGTTTTCGGAAAGGGAAAGACTTGAAGACTCTGAGACTGTCTTTAATTTGTTTCATGGAATGGCTGGGTGAGCATCCCTGGGTCAGGATGGAAGGGGGTGGGAGAAGTCATCATGGGGGCTTCTGGGAGCTGGAGAATCAGGCCAGCTGAAGGTGAGACCCACCTGGGGCAGCCGCCTCTGTTCAGGAGGTCTCTACAAAGGGCACCCTCAAATAAATCTCTCCAGCAATGTTTGAATGACATCATCCCTAACTGAACCATGATGGATCATCATCATCTGAATGCTACGGGGTCTCTTGCTTGAGCAGGGGGTTGGACCTGACGTCCTCCAGGGTCCCTTCCAACTCTGTTATTCTGTTATCTTCATCATCATCCGTGTGGGTCAATTATCACCTAATGGTTATCTCCCCCTTGTGAATGAATGACCAGCACCTTAGCCAGGATGTCCACCCTATCGTTGATTGCCAACCATTGAGCTACACATGCACGTGGGAATGAGTCTTTAAGCAACTCCCCATGGAAAATTCTTAGGATATTTAGTGTCTACCTGCTGGTCAATCCCCACGGCATCCAATCCATCATACATGATGTTCACCCAGCCATCTTTGGAAGAGAGGACGAACAGGGACATCAGGGCCTGTGGAAGCAAAGAAGGCTGTTTATACAGGGGGAATTTTCCGTTTCTGCTTCGCTTTCAGTCAACCAACAAATCAGATCCACCGCCCCAGGATATATGTGACACTTTCCTGAGGGAAATTAAACATGGATGGATAGAATCCACATAACTCTTTGGGGTCCTCCATTGTTTTTAAGAAGACCAAGACCAAATGTGTCTGCAGAAGAAAGTGGCTTTCCCCTGCCATGGTGCCTGCCCTTGGCACAGCACCTCCCTAGAGATCCACCTTAAAAATGTGCCGAAAATCCCTGAAATCTTCTCAGGCCTGGGGAGAGGCGAGGGTGGTGCCCTCAGAAGGATTTCTCTAATTTGGTATTTGGAGCGTTCCTTCCGAACATACATGATCCGTGTTCTTTGATTGTTGTTCCTCACTTTTAAAATTGCAGGACACCCAGAGTGTCTCAGAGTTGGGAAGCCTCCAAAGTGTAACATCCAATTAAAAATCCAATTAAGTTTAGAAGATGGGAAGGTTGCTTGGCTGGGGAACCACTTCCTTCCTGTCCTCCTTCTCCTCTCCCTCTTACCTGCCCCAAATTGTCGAAGTTATACTTCCGCCGGACCCATTTGTAGTGGGCTTTCCTGCAGTCCGTTTTAGTGGAGATGTTTCGGATGTCAGCCCCCTCACAGTGGTAGAACTTGCCCTTGAAGAGCTGGGGAAAAAACCCGAATAAAATCAGCAGGAGAGGTGGAGGGTTTGACTTCAGCTTTGACTTGGCAGGTGGCCTAGATTTGGGGAAGACTGGGAAGAGGAGACCTGGGTCAGAAAACAGGGTCAAGGTTTCCAGCGTGAGAACAGCCAACAGCCAACTCGCACCAATGGGACCTGATCTAGGGAAGGTCTCCTTGTTTTGTTCGATGGTGCTGAGTCATGGCTGTGGAGGAATCGTCCGAGCAGGGGGGTGCGATGGTTTTCACCCCCAGGGGACATCCAGGATGTCTGTCCTGGAGGGTTTATCAGGGGGTTTCTTTTATGATTCAGGAGAACAAGGAAGAAGGAAGTAGCGTGTTTTCCAAAGCAAACGGTGAAGGATCACTCTGTCAAGGTTTAAGAAGGGGGCAAGTAGGCCTCGGCTCCAGCAGGCCATGGGGAGCATCCCCTGAAGTCCACGTCTCCCGTTCAGACCAAGCCAAGCCAGGATTTATTCCAAGGCAGAACGAAGAACCCCCCAAGGTGTTGAAACCTTTCCGTGGATCTTGCTCAGCATGGTGGGGAAAACTTACCTGCACTCCCAAAATGCCAAAGATGATAAAGAAAGCGCAACAGATCAGGACAATGTTGCCGATAGGCCGGAGAGACGAGATCAGCGTCTCGACCACGAGCTTCAAACCTGGAGCTCGGCTGATGACCCTGGAGAGGAGAGGAACACCCTCTTTTTTCATCCCATTTCCAGGCTCCCCCAAGAATCATTCCGTCCTCCCAGAGGAAAAACTGACAGTTGGGCAGCAACAGAGCCTTAACTTTGAAGCATTCTGGTTCTCTTCCCCCGTCCCCCATTTCTGATTGCGTGCTGCATGATGAAAACGAAGGAGAAGCCAATGGAGGAAGTCCAGTTTGGATCCTGGAGGAGGATGCTGGTTTGGAGAAGGTTGGGTCCTTACTCTCCTCCCTTGCCCAGAGGAACTCGTCTAGGGGTATCCCAGGTGTCCCCACCTTGTAGGACCCAGAAAATGTCTCCAGACATGAAGTTCACCTAATCAATGCTTTCAGACGCCATCAAAGACTTTCCCCCCCGGGTCAAGATGGGCCTTCTGAACTCTTAGTCTCTTCAAATGTCAAGCCAGTCCCAAAATCCACCTCTCCCTAAGAATATCCTAGCACAAACGTCACCCCAGCAAGAAACAGATGGAGCAGTTGTGCACCACAGCTGTTTCTTAGTTTATTTCCACCAAAGGAATCAAAGACCCCGGCCGGGTTGTTTTGGGGGCCCCAGTTTTGCATTTTCTGTGGTCATAATGTGAAGCAGCAGACTCCCGCAGAGAGCAGGGAAGACCGTTTCCCTCCTCCTCCCTCCCTCCCTCCCTCCCTCCCTCTTGCTTCTCCTCCTCCTCCTCCTCCAGCTGCCTCACTTATTACTTGACAACAATCAAAAAGACCAGCTCCCTTTTGCCTGGTTTCAGATATTGAAAGTGTCGTCCTACTTTTGACTTTCCAGCCAGCTCAATTGCTCCTCTGAGGTCCTGAACACAAAACATCTGCAGATGTCGGGAATTCTCAAATTATTACCCATCACACTTGGACTGCAAATTCACTCCAGGGCAATGTGTCTGCTGTTCCCCTCTCTCTGCCACCCTGCCTGGCACCCCTGCCCTTGGGGGATGGGCTTCCTGGAACTGCTACAAGGTTTGCCATTGCGCATCTTCAGAGGTTTGACCCCCAGACTGCTCTGGAAAGGTCTGGAAATGCTGGGAAAAACAGTATTTATCTTGCCCCAGGCACGATTATGCGGCCTACTGCAAACAAGGGCAACCTTTCTACCCGCTGGGAAGAACGGGGTGCTTTGGCTTTTGAGACAGGCACATGCATGGAGCTGCTCAACAGGAAATACCTGCATGCTAATCTATGCACCACAGGACCCCATGCCAGAGGCTGCTGGAAAAAGAACACCGAGTTTTTGCATTCACGGTCACATTGCTTTTGTCCTTCTGTTGATACACAGCCGAATAAGCAGGTTCAGTTCAAAGCAAAATAGACAGAACCAGTCTGGTGGCTGGCCAAAGCACCAAACCGATATGCATGGTGCTTAGAGTTAATTAAAGCACCATGCCACACTAGGATGCAATTTGGAAATGACCAGGAATGCACCAACTTAGTCTTGTTCTAGGGCCAAGAAAGCGTAGGGACATGAGGCATTAAGAGAGGTCGATCCGTTGCAAATGGCGAATTGTAGCTGCCCAAGATTCTAAATGAACCTTCGGAGTCATCCGAGGCCCTCAGTCCAAAGAATTTGCCACGGAGAAGAGATTTTGAGTCTGTTTCTTAGCAATAGTTAGTTTGGGGACCAAAATAGTCTCCTCAACTGTTTTTTCAGGTGTGGGAGACTGGGTTTTCGCCAGCTATTCCCGAGGAGGAAGTGATTAGCTCAGATGCCTCCTGATTTTCTGGAAGCCGACAAATACCGTAAAGGTCTCAGAGTGCGCAGCAGCCGAAGTACCCTCAGCACCCCTAAAATCTTGGCTCCGCCTGCTGATGCCATGGAAACGATGATGTCAATGATGGACACGAAGACCAGGATCCCATCCAAGACGTTCCAGCTGCTCTGGAGGTAGGTGTGCTCCCCGGAGAAGAAGCCAAGAGCCACAACCTGGAAGGAGAACGGAACAGACTGTTCCAGGCATGGATCTGCCTGCTGCATGGAAGCTCAAGAACCATTTCACTGGAAATGAGACAGAATCCTGGACCAGAACTGTTCAGTGGGGGGGAAGGGGATCTTTGCAAAGAGTAAAATCTTCCACCACTGAGGAAAATTGGCTTGTGGTTAACTTTTCTGCCAGACGCGAGAAAAATTGACACGGGCCTCTTTATTGCTGCAGTGGAGAAGTTCTTGGATGCAATTTCTTTTATAATTGGGTCTCCCTCAAGAATATCCTCCTTCCCCTAAATGAAAGTAATAAAACGGACAATTGTCCCTCCCTGATTTATCCTCCGACTCAGTAGAGCGGATGGAGGGGCTTTTGCTGTACATGAATCCAACGGGACCCAACTGCAAATGCAGCAACGGTACCTTAACCATCATCTCAGCAACAAAAATGGCCGTAAAGATGTAGTTGGAGACACTCAAGAATATCCGTTCCTGCAAAAAAGGAGAGAAACCGGGGAGTTGAAATCCAATCTGGCGAGGGACTCGACCCCTAATCCCAGGAAATCTCCGTGAACTCTCTCCTAGGTTCCTGAATTCAACCCCTCCTCTGTGCCAAAACTCCACAGCTCACCGGATCATCCCGGTAAATCCTTTCTCTACCTTATTTACCTTGAAGGGGTTTTATGAAAATTACTGTTTGGAGTTCAAGTTACGCAGCCTTGAAGCTGCTTAATCGTATTTGGGTGCTTTGGGAGTTGGTGTTTTTAATTGCAGGGACATTCAGCCAAGTCAATTTGAGAAGCGGAAGAGGAGAGTCAGCAGCTAGCCTGTGTCTTGGGGAAACACCTAGATTTACCCCAAATAATTCATCTATTCAGTTTCAGAAAAGTTGTCAGGTTGCCCAGTAACTCAGCACAAGGCACCTTTTTTCATCCTGGACTCTTTGAGAAGCAAAGATGAAGCTCCTTCCTGGACAGGAAGCAAAGACGTTCCCCATTGGAAAAATTAGCCTTTCGAAAAATCGTCCTGGCATTGAACTGTGTCCTTTTGACCGGACCGGACAGGATCCATCATGCTGAGCAAAAACCTGAAGACTAACACCCTTCACCTGGGGGGGGGGTGTCAGGCTTCTGTTCCTCAACAAGAACATCTGGGAGCTCACCGTGCTGTTGGGATCGATGTCTGGGCGCTCCAAGGCGATGGTGATGCAGTTGAGGAAGATGAAAACCAGGACTACGTGGTCAAACATCTTGTGCGCAATGACCTTCTGGCAATTGGCCCGGAGGCTGAAAGTAAGGCAGGTGGGCTGGTCAGCTGCCCCCCCAGGAGCCCAGACATTCCTCTACTTTTTAGGCCAATAGGAAAAGGGCATCAAGTGACCCACATCTGTCCCCTTGGTTAGCTGAGCTGCAGACTGTGCAGGCTGCCTTGATATTTATAGCATATCATGGCTCCCAAATTTAGGAGATCCTTATCTTGAGCTTGAGTTAGTGCTCTTCCCCACAGCTGCCCTGCAAGGGAAATCCAGGAAAACCCCACAGGGAACCTGATACAGCCCCTGGGATCTATGTTACTCTACACCGGGGGGGGGGGTCTCCAACCTTGGCCACTTCAACGCCCAGAATTCCTCAGCCAGCAAAGCAAATTTTGCCCAATGGCCAGCACCCCACAGGAGAACGAGCCCTTACCGATTCTGAGGGGAGAACAAATAGAGGGACCAGTCCTCGTGATTCTTGCACCATTTGGGCTTGTAGGGCTCCAAGCTCTTGCGGATCCTGTAGCAGAAACTCTGTGGGGAGGAAGAGGAAGAAAAGAAAGGAAGCCCCCTTGGGGAATCTAATCGCAGCAGGCATCCCTTTCCACCCACTATCTAATATCTCCCTTAAAGTCTGACAGGCAGTGGCAGCTTGAACCCAGCATCGTGGCTGGGTTGGGTTGCAAATTTTCGCAGGTTTGGGATGGGCAGCTGTCCCCGATCAGCTGGAGGATTGGAGAAATGTCACAGGAAGGGGCTTCCTTTTGTGGGGTCTTCCCTTCCTACCCTAAAGAGGGCAAAATTCACCAACCCCCCAAAGGCCACCCTTGACCACTCCAGAGGTTGTTGGGGGGTGGGAGTGGCTGGAGGCCCTCTTGCCCCCCCGGGAGAGCCGGAGGGGGAGGGGGAGCCAAAGAACGTTGGGCTTACATCTTCCATGTTGTCATCGTAGTCGAAGGGATCCTCTTTGCGGCCGTCCAGGTGCAGGTAGAGCTCGCTGGGCACCTGCAGCAACTTGCCATTGCAGTCCTGGTACTCGAGGGGCAGCATGGCTACTGGAGGGTGCACCCCGGGCACCTGGAGGAGCTCCGGCAGGTCCAAGGCACCCCGGAAGTCTAGGGACTCTGCCCGGTGGTGCAGGGGGGCCCGGCTGAGGGTGCTGAGCTTGGCCTCCTCGGCTTCATCGTCCGTGCTGCCTTTGCCCTCCCCCGAGAGCAAGGACTCCCGCTCGCTGCACTGGCTCTTCTTCTTCAGGCTCGGGGCCCGGCCCAGGCTGTTCCAGCTCGAGCGGCGGCTGCCCCAGTTGGCACAGGGGGAGCTGCGGAGGCTGGACTGGGAGAGGGGAGGAGGCCAGGTCAGGGTTTGGCCAGGAACCCTTGGGAGTGTAGTCCCCACTTCAGAGGGTGCCAGGCCGGAGAAGACCCCTGTCCTACTTCATCCTCTCAGCTCAAAGAAGCACCAGGCCTTCCCGGCTGGAGGTCCCTCCTCCACCTTCTTCTCAGCACCCACCTGCCCCAAACGGAGAGCCCTCCCCCTTCCCACCCCTCCCTGGCCCTGCCAAGCGGTCTCCTTCTTGGGAAAATACCAAAGATTTCTGGTCAAAGCCGAGCGGGTCCACCGAGATGTTGCTGCCCCTCCTGGAGTCCCCAAAAGGGTAGGCGGAGTCCATGTGTGGGGAGCCCTTTGGGGTGGGCATGGGGGTGGCTGCGGTGTGCATGATGATGGGTGGGGGCATGCTGGCCTTGCCCTCCAGGTGGCCGTTGGGCGTGACGGCCAGCGAATACATCTTCATCTCTGCAAGGGAGGAGACAGGACCTTCTCAGCAATCTCTGGGCAAACTAATCCAGAGTTGGAGATGTTCTGGAGCTACTCCTGTCACTGAACCACTTCTAGCCCAACTCCAGGCCACTCTGGACAAAATGGTTGTCCATTTCTCTGAGGGACAGTAGAGAATTTCTTGGGGAAAGAAGAAGAGAAGCAAGCAGTGAGGTCTTGCTTCCTCGGATGACCCTCCCAAGGTGAACCTCTCCTCCTTGCCTGGATGTCCGGAGCTTTGACCTTTCCTCTCTGGTCGAAAGTGAAGCCTCCCAAGGGTTGCCTTCCCCAGCCAGCCCTCTCTCCTTACCAGAAGCATGGAGTTCCTTCAGCTTCTCAAACTCTTCCTCAAAGTTTGTCGATGTTTTGTCTTCATCTGTGTCAGATCTGTTGGCGTCACCCTGAAATGGTCCCAAAATAAAATAGGACAAATGGTTGGCAAATAATTGGTAATTATGGCAGGTGAACGGAGCTGCCTAGAACCAGAAACCAAATCTTTGTCCTAGGAGGGGTTGCAAACATTTATTTATTTTTAAATGCTTATTTCACGGCTCCTTGGTTTAGCATTCCTAACTCCTCCTGGAAAACACAAGGTCTGTTTGGAATAGACCCTCCTGAGAGTTTGCGCGCAACAATTCTTTCTCCTGTTGAGAAATCAGGAGATTTGGGGACAGATTTTTCACTACTTCCTACAAGATGTCCTCTACCCTGTGCCTGTCCCATGCGCTAGCTTGTGATTGTTGTTTAGCCTCCCGAATTTAAATGCTGAAGATCAGAGCACTCAAAGAGGGAGAACTTTTCCCTCTCTCCACCATTTCATGAATGTCCCAATTCCTGGCCTATTTCTAGGCCCAGAAGAGCCCATCATCATCTTCAGGCTTGTGTCTTCAGCTTGGTGCTGAAGCACAAAACTCTGAGAAGCACCAAGCTGAAGACACAAGCCTGAAGATGATGAACGAGACTTCATCGAAACGTCTCCAAGATACTTCCAATTCTACGCGGGAGAAGACCCAAATAACCAAAGATCTACATACAAATACCCGCGAAAACCTGTGTGTGTGTATAATTAAATAAAATGCCATTCTGTTTTCCTTTGTTGTGTGTTCTTCTATTTCAGTTGTTCCATCCTATTGATAGCAAGGCTTCTCTTGTGCCAGAGCAACATATATCTTAATAAATTGCATTTTTCATTTATGTTCCTTGGGATCATCTGTAATAAAAAAAAATATTCATGGTTTTGAGATTTTCAAAATTTTCTAGATCTTTGCTTGCATTTCTTTCCAGTACTTTGTGTTATTGGTTTGTTTGGGTCTTTTTTAATCTCACCACCACGGATGGGGAAAAAAAGCGTCTTCCTTCTCTGTACCATCTCCAACATTTCCTGATTTATCCATCTTGGCAATTGTTGGTGGACTTGCACGTACCTTCTGCAGAATATTTTGCACTCAATTTCCCCCAGATCATAGCTCAGTGTCAATATTATTGATCCTCCACATAACTCTGCCTCAGGACCTTTTCGAAACAGATCAAAATCCTCAGGCGGCCTCTTGTCTGTGCAGCAGGTCTGCTTGCAAAGCTTCCTCTGATGAACAGGTAGATCAGAAATATTAAACACATTCAGAGAAACTGGAGGTAGAATCAGAATGCAAAACCGTTTATTTGACACAGGTCTCTGTGCGCACACCTAAACCATGCATCTGGTTGCAATCTCCGGATCTGGGGGTACATGGCACCCAACACCCCGAATGCCACTTGACCTAAGAGAGCCAAGGAGGAAGGAGCCAACGGACAGGGCTTTCCTGCTACTTAACGGCTGTTTTGGCTTCTTTCGGAAGAGGAAAAGAATAGGATTTGCTGGACATTTAAATCACAGCTTCAAGGGGCATCATCACCATCTCCGAAACCTCTTCCCGCCCTTGCGATTCACCAAGCCCATAATTACATATTTATGCCGAGCAGAGAACAGGGGTGCAGAATCCCACCATTTATGTGGCCAAGAGACTGGAAAATCTGGAAGGCTGCTCTTCATCACAGCTTATGCAATAGTAGCTTATTTTGCTGACTAAATTAAGGGGGTGCATTCTTGTGAACACATCTGAAAAGGAAGGAAAGGGAGGGAATTGGCTCATATTTGGAGCTAGGATGTTTTGCTTCCCGGGGGGCGGGGGAGTCAACCAATTCGGACCTCAATAAGACCCCTGGTTCTTGGACCGCATCTTCTCCTCTGCTTAGCTGTTCACTTGCAACCAACTCAAGGCGCTCAGTGTGTAGCGGTGTCTGGAGCAAGCAGAAACAAGGGCACCCTAGGCCTCTGCTGGAAAAGTGCCCCCTCCTGCCTGTCCAGTGCCAGCCAAGCGGTCGAATGTTTCCAGGTGGTGGCTGCCAACCCCAATCCCTGGGAGAGAAGCGGAAGAAGCCAAAAATGCTGGAGACTCGGCGGATGAATGGAGATCAGGAAAACAGCTGTGGGGCTGGTGGAACTGTTCTGATTGGTGGCCTCAGTTGTTTTTGTTGCTTATTTAGGGAAAAGCCATTGAAGAGATGGAAATGAAACTGTGGGTGGCAGATAGGGCCGTCGTGTTCCCAGAAATTCTGGGCCACCATCCCAGAGAACCATGTGCCGACCTCTTCTGGCTGTTGCCCTGGCTATCTCTGAGCACAGATGTGGAGAAAATTGGGAGGATGGGTCTGTAGCAGTGGGAGTCCACAGGGACCCTGGCCAAGAGCAGGCACTGGTCCAAAGCAGAGGAACAGTGTGTTCCTTGGGTCACAGCACAATGTATTGGGGCAGGCTGGCCCTAATGGCATTCCTTCAGGCTACATAGCAGAGGTCTCCAACCATGGCAACTTTCAGACTTCCGGACTTCAACTCCCAGAATTCCCCAGCCAGCAGAATTCTGGGAGTTGGAACTCCACAAGTCTTAAAGTTGCTAAGGTTGGAGAGCCCCTCTTTCTATGGCTCATGAGATGGGCATTCTGATATCAGCTCCTTCGAAGGTTGCAAAATATATCCAGGGCTATGATGGTAGAACCACAGGAGAGGGAGATGTGGAGTCTACAAGGAAGGAGAGCACGCAAAGAGTTTTGGAAGAGAAGGGAAGGCTGAAGCAACTTTCACCTGGGAAAAAAAATATTGAGTGTTGCAACCCCAACATCCCGAAAGGGTACAAGCTACCAAATGTTGGGTATTACTCAACACCTTAAAAAAGAGAGACAGGGAGAATGATCTAGGAGAGAATTGACAGCATTTTCCCGTCCCTGGTGAGCTCCATGGTTGACTTCTGCACTGATTCTGCTTTTATCACCGACCGTCAGAGAGGAAAGCCCAGCCTGGAATTCCCATGTGTTGTCTCAAAGCCAATGGCCATGAGGATTAGGGAGGTTGGAGCGGTTGGGCTAGAAGACCTCCAGGGTCCCTTCCAACTCTGTTATTCTGTTATTAAACTGAACGTCACAATCGTCACACACCACTGCCTTCCTCGTCCTGCTTATGGGTTTCCCAAGAGTATCCAACTGGCCACTCTGTGGGAAAAAGGAAGCTTTGAATGAGTTTGCTCTCTAACTTTATGGTTTCTAGTTATTATGAAGAGAGCAGATTTCGAGTGGCTACAGAAGCCGAAGCTGCCAGAGCCGATTTCAAAGAACAGGAAATCAATAACTAGCAAAAGCTCTGCAACTCACAAGAACCTGGGAAAGGCCCCGACCAATAATACAATTGTCAACCAGCCTCCCCAGATGGAAGCCAACCAGAGGCTGAATTCTCAGCCAAATTGGCCAAAGGCTGATGGGTAGCCGAGGATGAAATGAAGACACAAGTGCCACCACGAAGGAGGGAGGCTCTCTCGGAGGAAAAGAGCAGGAAGGAATAATCCGGTTGCCGCAGCTGCAGTCCATTTGCCAGTGGCTGGAACTAAATTTAATGGAGCCTTTGGCCAAGGACGCTGCTGCTGCTGCCGCCGCCATTTTTAATCCAATCAGCCTGAGTTAAGAGGCAGGAGTTTTCTCCAGCAAAATAATTTCTCATGGAGGAACTCCAAGGGAAGATCTTCTTGGAAAATCTGATGGGCCGGCTTCAGATGTGAAGGCAATTGCAGGAAGACAACTGGACCAGAGCAGGTCAAGGAGAGGAGAGGAGTCATTAGAAGGACTCAGGTCTCCACCCTTAGAGGAAGAATAGAATAACACTAAATGCACAATAGAAGCTGGGGGAACACACGATTGCTCTCTAACGTCAGACCTATGTTGACTCGGATCCTATTAAAAAAACCGTATCTTCTGTCTGCAAGTTCAACTTTTGAAGACTTTATTCATCATAGGCAATTACCAAGTGGACATTTATGAGCTTCTGGACAGGAAGGATTGGACTTCCTGATCAACCGAGTCTTTTCCAGTCATCAGGTGCGCTCCATGTTGGGACTTTTTGCTCCGTTTTGTCAGCTTGGCCTTGCTTCTCAAACTGGCCTCCTGCTCTGTTTCCATTTTTTTTAACCTGATGGTCATCTTATTTCAGAGCTTCTTCTTTCAGGATCCCGGGCAGGCCCCTTTTTTGTTGTGGCTGAAGCAAGTCTAAACTGGAGGTCACCAGTAACGCACGGAGGAAAGTGGAGAGAAGAATTGAGGAGGGGAGCATAATTCTACCTGTTCTCCGTTCATTCCCCTGATGCTCCTTGAGGACTTGTGCCTTGAAGAGCAAAGCAATTTCTCATCCTTCCGAGAAAGGCGGTTGGGCATTCGGAGGTGGTAAATGGCCACTTGGTTCTTACTGAGCTGGGAAAACATCGTAATATTCTCCTCCTGCCTGTGATTAAAGGCCCTCTCTGAATCATCATTCTTCGCTCCAGCAGGCCGACTGCAGGTAAGGCTCTAACTTCATTTCCATACGCTAATGACTTCATAAAAGCTCCTTGATAACTTGTGATGTGATATGGGTTATATTTCTGAGGTGGAAATGGGGACATAACTCTGGCTGAAAACCCGTGCTGTGGATTTACCTTGGAGAGATGTCAGACGTGGGAAAGCTTAGTAGACCAGGACAAGTAGGAAAGAATTTTCTGAAGAACATGTTCTTATGGAATTCTTCCATAAAGTGTCGCTGGACATTCATATCCCAGTGATTTTCTTGATGTTGTGACTTTTGCTTGAAAAATGGTCTTCCTAGATGACTGACAATGAACACCATGGCTGTCCGTGAGTTTTGATGAATATATTTTGAAATATGTCGTCCTACCTAGACATTTTTGTATTTGTAGTCGCCTTATTTAGAAGGCATCAGTGAGGGAAGTTGGCTATTTGCAGACACATTTTGAAAAATAAATTTGTTTAACCAACTGTTGAGATAAGCCCAACTGTCTCATCCCAGGCCAGAAAGTTCAACCGTGGCCTGTTATACCTGCTGAGTATGTTTAGATAATTGGGATTTCTTACCATTTATATCTGTGCCGCTGAAATGAATGCCCAGTATATATAGTGTCATGACAATACGATCACACCATTCATAAATAAGGAGCTGCAACACAATGTGATCATTAAGGTCACTTAGCAAAAAAAAAACCAGCCAGCCATTTGCGGATCCCTTACCTCAGCTTGGAAACCTTCTACCAGGATGGCGACCAAGAGGTTGAAGAGGACATAATTGCCAAAGGTCATCAGAGCCACAAAGTAGAGAGCAGCCCAGGAGGAGGTGGAGGCCATTCCATTGTAGAGGACCACGTTCCAGTCTTCCTGGGTCAGGATCTGAAAGACAGGAAGGACATCTGAACCCACGCCTCTCTTTTCTGGTTTCACCATGTTTTTCCATGCTTGGTCGTTAGTCCTTCCAAGTGGTCTCACAGGTAAAATCCTTTTGGTGTAGCGTCTTCTGCCTGCCATAGCTCCTTCAATGTGTGTGTTTCCAAAGAAAGGAACCTGGTAAGAACCTAAAACACCTCCTTTGTTGGATAATTTTTGAGGGGAGTCTCTTTCTTGTGCATGTTCAGACAATGTGCTAGATCAGACCCATCTGGTTAGCAGTTTTTTCCCAGGAACATCTCTCACCATTTCACCAGCTGAGTTCGAAGTGAGACACCAAGGACCAACCCCATCTTCTGGATGGATCTAATTGTCACAGGTTCCTCCCTTTCCCAAACTCTCTCCCCTTATTGGCAGCTCACCTGTGGGTCGGTTGCCGAGATGAAGCTTTTCTTATTTCCCTCCTGCTATTGACCAAATTGAGACCAAATCTGATTGCCACCCATCCTTCCATTTTGTGTGGTAGCACCACAGGTAAAAATATATATATATACTTATATATATTTGTTTTCTTAAGTTTTCGCGGGTACTTATATGTATGGTATTCAGCTTTGTTCGGGTATTTTCCCATGTCATTATAGTTGTGCTTTTAAAGTTGTAGCAACGTTTCGGCAGAATCTCATCTGCCATCATCAGGCTTTAGATGAACACAATACAGAATCAGACGAACCCAACACAGAAGCCTGATGATGGCAGATGAGATTCTGCCGAAACATTGCTACAACTTTAAAAGCACAACTATAATGACGTGGGAAAATACCTGAACAAAGCTGAATACCATTCATGTAAGTACCTGTGAAAACTTAAGAAAACATATCTATATCTATATCTATATATCTCTATCTCTCTATCTCTCTATGATTCATTGCCCAGAGTCATTTCTTTCTCCTGCTTTCCTGCTTGTCCTTTTCCTGCTGACTCACAACGTTTGCTGAAACGGTGAGAGCCGTTGATCATAAATGCAAATGAGGGCTTTGCATTAGGACGAGAGATAAAGAAACTTTTTGTGGGAGCAAAATGCTCTTTGTCTCTATTCAAAATAGCAAAAGGGTTTGCTTATTGTTAACAATGGTGCTAATTAGATCCGTTTTGCTTATCGCTCACGCTTCTTCCTGTCGGCAGGTATGGAAGGTGACCAAGAATAACCCAGGAACCGAGCTCTAGAAAGCATCAGCCTCTCTAATCTTAACCACGATATCTGTTTTCAACCTCATCGTGGAACCAAAAGGGAGGCTTCCCTTCACCCAGCCCCCCCACCACTGGAACAGCTTTCACTGACCTTGACAAGGAACATCAAGTTTAGCTTTGGTCTTTTTTTGCGCCTAATTTAGTTAGCTGCGAGAGTTTGCTAGGAAAACAGCACCAGCCTCTCTATTAGATGGACGGAGTGACAGCCTAAATGACACGGAGCTGCTGTCAGATTCTCCCAGCAGTCAATTACTGAATCCTTGGTGGTTGTTTATCTAGACGGGGGCCTTGAAGGGGAGAGAGACTCCGCATTTTCCTGCCTTCCCGAGAATTTTCAATTATTTTAATCTTCTAAAGCAGTGTTTTCAAAACTCGGCCACTTTAAGATGGGCGGACTTCAAACCCCAGAATTCCCCTGCCAGCATGAAATTTGTAATGCTGACCTACATATTGGAGATTTGGAGATAACAGGCTGCCAAGGGGGCATCTTAAATTTTCTGGAATGATTTCCAACTGGGATCGGACCAGCCTGTCTGACGACTGACCCCGTGGGCAGAAATAAGGAGAGTCCACCGTGCAGCTTTCTGGAATAGTTATGCTGTTGTCTTTGGGGAGGCCTCAATATTCTGCCTTTAAATAGGGAAGCTTCGTGAAGCCATTGAAGGATCAGCTGTGGCTGCTGGAAAGGTTGGGGGTGTTTTACACACAGCAACCCCCGCCCCCCGCCCCCCCCTGGTCAAACAGGCAGCTGGAGGACCTCACCTGAAACACGGTGACAATTGCCCACAGCAGGGAATCGAAGTTCTTTCGGTCTGGCATGGTGTCTCCTGTCTCGGTCCTTAAGCCAAACTTGCACCCAAAAAGATGCATACCTAGGATGCTGTGAGGGGGAAGGGGAAGGAGAGACAGACAGACAGACAGAGAGAGAGAGAATGAGAGAAGATGGTTGAAAAGGCAAACAGCTTATTTGAAGAGGATATTTGAAAAGGTTCTGGCTCCTGTTTCATCTTGAACAGCAGACTGAAATAACTCAGGTCAGATAATAGAAAAAAAAGTTGTCTTTTCTGTAGTCAAAGAAGAGATAATTTTGCAATTGTATTTTTCTGCAAAGGAAATCAGAAATATTTTTCTTCTTTCTAATTTTTCCTTTTCTTTCTTTTGGCACTTTTACTCCTTTCCTTTCCCTTTCCCTATTCTTAGTGTGTGCTAATTTTTATGCCCTTTGTAAATTTTGAATCCAAAATTTGTAATAATGAAATAGGACATTTTCCAGATCGCTGACTAGGAAAGATGACTTGGGTAGTGTTGTCTTCTCCAACCTGGATCTCACCAGAATTTCCTGTCAGCAGGATAGAAGACCCTGCCGGCTGAGCACAAGAGAGCTGGGAGGCACCAGACTGGAGAAACACGAAGGCTGTCAGAATTCGCCTCTTTATCCACCGGAAGTCTACAAAACCTTATTTGACTTTCTCTAGCAACGTTTCACAGATTGCAAAACTCGACCTCCCCTTTGAGGAATGTTGTACTAGATGTACATTTCTGGGGGAACACCCCCCCACACACACACATAGTTCCTTTTCTGGTACTTTTCGTGGGGTCCATGTCAACCCAGGAAGACTCTCGCCCTACTTGGAGAGGAGCCATCCTTGGCCTCCGATGCAGGCGCCTCACTGTTGTTTGCCAGCTATCTCAAACAAAGAGGGAGGCACTGTTGTGTCGTGCTTGTCACTTTCCATCCTTCATTTGTCCCCTGGGTGGCAGGATGCAGAAGGAGCGAGGCGGCCCGGGGGACATCGATCTGCAGAATGCCCGCCTGTCACTACGTGGAGAGGCCATTTTAATTCCCACGCGTTGGGCCAGTGGGATCCGTGTCACTCTAATCGGTGCGGCACCGAGAGGAACACACCCACCAGGTAACTAGGCAAGGCAGGCCCAGCGACCCCTCCTACCTGAAGATGAAGATGAAGAGCATGAGCAGCATGCAGAAGGTGGCCACGTTGTCCATGGTCTTCATGAGAACCACCAGCTGCCGGCGGAGAGCCGGCATGAACCGTACCAGCTTGAGAACCCGGAGGAGGCGGAAGGTCCTCAGCACCGAGAGGCCCCCGTCAGCCTGGCCAATGATCTCCCAGACACTGCAGGGTGGAGAGAGAGATTCAGGCAACTTGGGCTGTCCGGCTCCTGAGCAACCATCCACTTCCTAATTGTCCCTGATGCGGGCAGAGGTGACCTGGGGGCCCAGCTGCTTTCTTGGGCCTGTTGTCAGATAGTGAAGTTGGGCCCAGAGAAGGTTGCTTTTCATCGGGGACTTGGAGCACATGAGGGTCAAAAAAGGGGGTATAAGTGTACGTTCTCTGGGGACTCTCTCCCCTCCCCTCCCCTCCCCGCTCCTCTGCAGATGCAGCTAAGTCAGCACATCTTCCCTGAAGACAATTCAATGAGGTGACCCCAGGGAACACCAGAAGTGGAATATTACTTCCCCAAGATTTGCTGCAGTGGTAAAAAAGACAAGCAGGCAAGGAAATTCAGCTGGCAGGCAATTTCAATCCTCTCTCTCTCTCCCTCCCTCTCTCTCTCTCCCCCTTCCTCTCTCTCTCTCCCCCTCTCCACACACCCCCGTCTCCCTTGCCCCAGTTTTAAGTCGAGGGAACCATGCGAAGGATTCTTCTGAGGCGACGTTAGAAGCCAACTTACCTGATGACAACAATGATGCCATCAAAAATGTTGTAGGGGTTCTTGATGTAACCCCAGATGCCAAAAGCCAAAAGCTTGAGGAGCATCTCCAGAGCAAACATGCTCGTGAAGACAATGTTGCTGATCTCCAGGGCATTGGTTAGCTCATCCGGCTAGGCAAGAGGGAGAAATCAAGGTAATTCAAGTCAGACTGGGAGGCCAAAATACGTCCCTTAGCTCTTATTCTCTGCAGATGAAGGAGAGCCGAATAGTTGACAACAATGTTATCGACAATGTTATCTTGCTCCATCGTGATTGTCAAGCTGAATTGTTTTCCTGACCCCGTGACCACAGAGATTGTTATCACAATGTAAAATAGGGTGACAGGGTGCAAAATATGGAAAAGCAATAGTTGCAGATGAAGTATCAAACAAGATAGGATCAAGATAGAAGGAGAATTGTCTAAAATACACATGGAGTGGTTGACATATAGAGGAATTGCAAATATTAGCAATCCAGAAGGAAGGTGTTAAGTGTTTATCATATCCATGCATCCACCCATCCACCATCCATCCATCTATCCAACCAACCAACCATATCTATCTATCTATCTATCTATCTATCTATCTATCTATCTATCTATCTATCTATCATCTATCTGCCAGAAACTGTCTTTTCCCCATTGAGAATGAAATATCGGCAACGGATCTATTGCATGTGTAACCTTAGTTTGGAAGGGCTGTGAAGCATCCACATGTTTTAAACTCCCTTTCTCCACCCAACACACAATCTTGCCTTGCCACAGCCTTTCAGGCCAGTTTATTTATTCATAGAACAGTTTTTCAGCCCGGATGCATGAAATATGAATTACAGCAAGGGACACAACGAGACCCACAAGGAGTCAACAAACAAAGGCCGGCTGGGAAGAGCATTCCTTCTCTATCTTGTCCTTGGTTTCCAAGCAACTCTTGTAAATGTTGCACTGAAAGTGATCTAATCCACTCAGCCGGACTGTTGACAACAACTCCAAATAATTACGGAAGCTAATCCGATCCACCAGCGAGGACTTTCAAAATCTTTTCCCTTGCGTTATAAGAGGAGGCGAGCAGGAGAAGGCAGAGCTTGAGCTTTCCTGAAGACCTTGTTAATTCAGGGGAGAAAACGACAAAAAAAGCCCTGAGTGGGAAGAAAACCATGGTGGGGTTTTTTTTTTGCAACTTCGTTCAAACCTCTCCCTGTCTACGTTGCTCTGCCCGGGTCTGTGCCCCAGATGAAATGCTGAGGCACTTTTGCAACTCCGAATCTGTAATGTGGCCTCAGTATAAAAAAGGACTATACAAAATAAATGGGTATTTCGGAAAATAATGTATGAAAAAACCCCAGTGCATAGGGAAATGCCTTAGAAAAATGAAAAACCTCTTTTGTGCAGAAGTTGGATGCAATGGGGATCTGAACCCTTCAGGCTGTGCTCCCAGCCAAGAAAGGGCAAGATTTATTCTTCTTCAGGGCTGACTAATCTCCATATCTCTTAGCTAATTTCCTAAAGTGATGACACTCTGTTCCGTCTTCTCCTGCACAGGAACCCCAAGCAGAAAAGGGGAATTTATTGGGGTCGGGGGTCGGGGGGGGCGGAATGCCTTCTCTTTCTGTGGTCATCATCCACAAAGCAGCATGTTGAGAACCCGAAAGAACCAGACTGGTCAGGGACTGCGTGGGAATTACAAGAGGCAATGCCCAACGGAGAGAGGAAAAAGGAAGGGCTCAGTTTGAGATGTCATGTAGCTGTCAGAATGACAAGAAGACAATCCCGGATTAAACAGAAGTGAAGAAGGGTTCATTGTGGGCTTTTCGGTTGTTGTTGTCTTTTTGCAAGGAAGGGAAGTTGTTTTACAAGGAGAGGTTGCATCTCGACCCGGCCTTTCTGCACGTAGGAAGGCAGCCTCTTCTTGTACCACAGCCAGACTTCCTTGCATTAAGAAGAAGCGTAGATGATTGTATGGGGTGTTTGGTTGGCTTCCAAGCCGGGAAGAGAGCCTTCCAAAGACGCGACTCTGTGAAATTGCAGCCTTAGACCCGTTTCTCCTTCCAGACAAAAGGGGTGTGTGTGGTTAAGGGGACTATTCACCATAATGAGCCTGGGACAAGCAACATAGGAGAAGGAAGTCCGTGCGCGTCAATCCGTGTGGAGGAGACACACACTGATGGCAGGATAGCTACTCTTCGTGGCGGAAATGCCAGAAGAAGTAAATTGCAAGAGGGATGAGCATGCAAAACCAGTGCTAGAGTAAGTCAGGGTTTCCCAGTCTTAGGAAAGTTAAGACATGTGTACTTCAGTTCCCATTCTGTGCAAATGAAACAATCAACAAGCCCAAAAGGGAACAAAAAGACCCCCAAAACATTTCCCCACCAGCAATCAGCCCCCGGATGAGCCCAGATTAACTCCAAGATTAACATCAGACCAGCCATCAAGAAGTAAACAAGAGGCCAGTGAAGGAACTGCCAAATGGCCCAACCCAAAAACGCTTAAAACCATCCCCACCAAGGGGGATAGAGCAAACCCCACTTCCTACTAGCACTGATGACGTTTTCTAGTCGGGTCATGAAACGTCTGCAAACTCAAGCTCAGAGAGCCCCAAGGACCCTTCGTTTCAACCCTAAGCTACCAATATTCCCCTTTATTGGAATCAAATTGCGTTCGGAGAAGGCAAGACCAGGTCAACAGAGCAAAACTCTGCTCCGAAGAGAATCGGGTGACCCACTCAAGGGAACGGATCTGTAACAACGGGTCCCATTCTGGGATCCAAGGGGGAAAAAATCAGCATACAGCCCCCCCCCTAGAATATGTTCACCCGTTGGCCTTCTTCTCATAAGGACGCAAGCCTGTCCTTTTAGTAGGGATTGAGTGTGGGGACTCTGCAGCGGGATTTGCCTTCCCTGGTTGAGCCCCGTGATGGATGTTATGGGCAATAAAAGCCCTCGCTTGCCTCCCGTTGAACCTCTGCCGCGACGCAAGTGGCCGTTGTGCAGATTAAGCCTTTTCCATGGAGCTCTGCAATCTCTCCCATGACTAATCTGTTTAACTAATGAATTACTTTCTGGCCACCATATTAGATTTCCAGTACATGAACATCATTAAGGAAGTAAGTGCTTGATAGAACCTCACCCCCACCCCGAGCCCATGTAAAAAAAACAATAATACAAATAGAGGAGATTAGAACTGGGCTCAGGTAGGATTAACTAAGCCCCCTTCCACCCCCACCCCCACCCATCTCTTCCAATTGCTGGAAATCCTTTAAAAGGGTTTCCACTCTTGGGTGGGTGAGGAGCTGAATTAATGATCTGGTTAAAAGGAGGAGGCAGGGCTTTTAAGCACTGCTTAGCCTCCAGTCAGATCCTCGAATCTCAAAGCAGGCTAAAAAAAAACCAAAACTGAAAAGGGGAACAAATTCAATAATTTGAGCTAGCACTGATGGAGGCCCAGAATGGCAGAGGTGGCCTCCTTCTCTTGGGGATGCCACGTTGGGAGCTTCAGAGCTCCTTGTTCTGGGGAAGAGTAAAGGAGGCGATTGTCTTGAACAGGGGGGCGTTAAACGCGGCAACTTTAAGACTTGTGTCTTTCTGGGCTTTCTTTTTTGTGGGAGGGGAAGATGTTTCACTTCTCATCCAAGAACATTCTTCAGTTCTGACTTGGATGACTGAGAATCTCCACAGACCTTTAAGACTTGTGGACTTCAACTCCCAGACTCCCTCAGACAGCATGGAGAATTAAAGTCTCCCGTTTGGAGAGCCCTGGTCTTGAATATGGGGTCTGACTTCCAGCTAGGTTGGTTTTGGAGGCGAACCAGCTGCTGCTTCCTCGCCTTCCTGTCCCTTTAACTTTGCTGAGGAACCAACCGAGGTCCTGTGGGGATGCCCTCCCTCCCCCCCCCCCAAGGCAGACTTCCTAGCCGCCCTCAGGACTCCCACGAAGGTGCCGAGGCTCTGCTCTTCCCGTTTCTCAGCCTCACTTGACGAAAAGCAATTTTATTTCAAGTGGCTTAAATGCCAGGCTAGATTAGATCAATTGCCACCTCTCCCAAATGGGAAGGAAGAATCAGGGGAGGCGCTCAGGAGATGCTGCTACCTGAAACTTCTCCTCCTGGAGAACAGAAGCTAAATCGGGGGTGGGGGGTGGGGGTGGGGGCTCCAGTCCAGCCATCTTTGGGACTTGTGGACTTCGACTCCCTAAATTCCCCACTGGCAGCTTTTGCGGGGAGAAAAAGGCCTCGACTTCTTCCCACTTTTTCTTTCATTGTCTTTACCCAGAACATCCACTCGGTCCATTTTTGCCTCAACCTGCATCTCCCTTCAAAGGAGGACGTCTGCAGGCAAACCCGCAAAGTTTCTTTTTGGATCCGGGAAGATTTGGCGAGTGGAAATGTAAACCACCCTTCCCCGGGATCAGTTTCACGAGCAGCCTCCAAGATCCAAGAGTTGGACAAAGAGAAAAACTCCGTTTGATTCAGAGGATTTCATAAAGATTTATGAGGTCTGCAAGTCGTCCTCTAAAAAAAGAAAGAGAGAAAGAAACCCCCAAATCCAAATATTTTGGCCTTTGCAGGAAAGGAATTCCAAACCTCAGACTGCTGGCTTGCTCTTTTCTGCGCTGTTTCCAGACAGGCAGAAGAGGGAGGGAGGCAGGCGGAGGGAATTCAGAATAACGCCTTGCTCTTTGCAGCCTGTCGAGGCGATAACTTGGGTCGACCAACGGAGAGATCAAAAGCCATTCTGGTTGCCATTGCTTACTCTTCCAACTTCCAGGGTGCTGGGAATGTTTAATCGAGCAGGGAGGCCACAGAGATGCCTTTGGCCAAGCCGTTACTCATCCCGAGGAATAGACTTTTATGGAAATGCTTTCTGGCAGGGGCTGCTTGGTGGCTGGTGGGACAAAGAGGGAGGGGAGGCCGCAGCTGGATGGGGTGCCGGAATAAAGGGTTCGTTGGTTCGAGCAGCCCATCAATTAGAGAAGAAGTCAAGGCAACAGTTGGGGAAGCCAACGGCTCGTGAATGAAGGGGACGGGGGACAGAGAAGGACCTGCTGAGGGATGAACTTCAAAGAGGAGCAGAATTGGAAGGGATCTTGGAGGTCATCTAGGCCAACCCACAGCTCAAGCAGGAGAGTCTACAGTATAGCATTTCAGACAAGAGCAAGAAGAAAAGAGGAGAAAGGAAGGATATTTAGTCCTAAGGTGATCTCAAGAACCTGACAAAGAATAGGCTGCATTCAACCTCCATCAGAACTTCCATTAAGGGCCAAGAAGCTGCTGTGACGTTTGAGATCCCTTTGCAATTAATCTGAGATGAGAAGGCTGAACTGATCTGGTTGGGATCTGTGTTAGGCAGCCCCCTCTGCTCTTGTTCCCCCTTCCTGGAGTGGCACCTCCTTTCGCCCAAATCATCAAGGACCCGGGGAGGAATCTTGCAATCCAAAGCAGCAGATGGCATTCCCACAGACGCTCACGCCACCCCTGGGGCTGGGTTCCTGATAGAGCTGTCAGCACTGCTGAGCCACCTCGTCCTTGGCTGATCGCTCCAATCAATCACAATTGGATCAAAGCCTAAAGGATGAGATTCACAGGTGAGCGATTGCCTCTCGAAACTGGCCGGCTGGCCAGGTAAAATTCTCCATTTCCGCAACCTCCCTCTTTCCTCTCATTTGCTGAATTACATTAAACCATATTAGATTACATTTCATTAATTCAATTTAGGCCCTGCCCGACTCTGAGCTAACGCTGAGTGATGTCCTATGGAACCAGACGGAATAGAAAACACAGCGCAATCGTTTTGAAAGAAAAAGAAAAGCAATGGAAGAACAGTGGAGAAATCAGCAAGAGGACTGGGAGCAAAGAAGGGGATTTCTGGCATTTGGGGTCTCCAAAGACCCAGCTTGTTCAAGGGCTCGAGGGCAAACGTCTCCAGCGGAAATGCTCCCCAAAGCCGACTCCCCAGAGAAAAGCAGGGGGGTCAAGGAGGGAGAAATAGCAGCTGATGAGTTCAATACCCCTTTCCCATCCTGAGCGCGTGCAAAAGTCTTGTGTTAACCAGACATTCAGTTGTGGGAGGCTGGATCAACCACAAAGCTCACGAGGACTCCTTGCCAGTGACTAATCATTGGATTGCTAATCCTACATGAAGCTCAGTTAAAAGGAATTCTGGGTTTTGAGAAATGTCCCACTTACCTTTCGGAGAGTGTGGGATTCATGTACGCGCCCTCTCTTATCCCCCCTCTCTTATTTCAGCCCCACATTAACCTTATGAGGCAGGTTATTCTGTGAGAGAAGAGATGGGCCAGGACCACCCACTCCGTTTCTGAAGGTCAGGGTGGATTTCAACCAGTTCTCCTCAGTCCCCGTTGACCACTTGAACTTCTTCCCTTCTTGCAAAGACTTCTTGTGTCTTCTCCCCCCCCCCACGCCCCCCAACCGGCTTTGCCTTCAGTGAGGTCTTCAGAAGACCCAAACTGATTGGTTGCTCAAGTCAGGGATATCCTATCATTCACTCAAGGAGCTCTGGTGGGTGGGCTCATCCTGGCATCTCACCCAGGAAAGATAAACAAGGTGGAAGCAGAGGGGAAGATGTAGATGTAGAGGTAGAGTGTAGGAGGAGGAAGATTTCACATCAGGTGAATTCCAACTCTCTCCCCAAACTCCAGACAAAAGGAAGGGCAGCATTGTCCAGCCACGATGACCCAGCTGCGCTTCAGGGATGACTCATCCCCTTCCAGCCAGCTGTCCTTCATGAGATGCCAGCATCTGGGACATAGTGTCCTCACCTTTAAGACATGCTCTTTGATACCACAGCGTTCAGACCCAGGAAAAGCAAACGATTTATTTTCTTCCAGGAGAAGTTATGAAAGATTATTTTGGAAGAGTTGTGGTCTTCAGACAACCGTGAGGAAGAGGAACAACTGCATGGATTAATTTTTGATTATCTTAATATGCCTGAGATCCATAGACAAGTTTCCAAATCCCACATTTTTCTCAGGCCAGATACCCCTCAACACTAGGAGCTGGGGACAAGTGGATCAATATATTCCAGGATCAGAGGGCTGCTTCAGGTTTATTTTGCAGGTCACGCTAATCATGTTTCACTGAACAAACTGCAGCCAGTTGAGTTTACAGCACATGCAAAGCCCAAAATAAGCCAACATATGATGAGTCCTGTATCAGATGAATCAGAATTATTATTATATAATCCCGAATTAAATGAAACCAACATTTGGTTGGGTTCAAGGTAAACATTTGCCATATTCTTGAAACCGCTCTTCCCAATGCAACCAAGAGGGCTTCAATCCTTCCGGTCTGAGTCCCCCACCCAAGGAGGTGTGTTGCCAGGGGACCCTCCTCTTAAGAAAGTCCAAGGATGTCTGTCCTTTCAGTATGAGATCAGACAAGGGCCTCTCCTGAGTTTGGCCGGCTAAGCCAACCTACCTCCTTACCTGTTCATGATACTCAATGCCCATGCTCAGCGTATTGATGAGAATGGCGATCATGATCCCACGGTTGAAATACTTGCTCTCCACAATCCGTTTCAGCTTGTTGCCAAAGGCCTTCCAGAGCTTGGCTATCCTGTTCCTCTCCTCGGCTGGTTTCCTTTTCTTCTCTTTCTTGATCCTCTGCTGCTGGATCTGGTCCCGTAAATCCCCATGTTTTACATCCTGGGTAAACTCGTAGACCCCATTGTTGTCCTCGCCGGACTCATAGCTGTCTGCCTCGCTGAACTCAAACTCAGGATCCTCCAGGATGCTGGCACAGAATGGGCAGTTTTGCAGCTCACAGCTCAAGGTGTTGGCTTGGGGCCCCGGCAAGGGACACGGCACATTCAAGCCAGACAAAATGCTGGAGGTCCGGCAGAGGCCTGCAATGGAAGGGGAACGTTAGGAACTTGAGGAAGGTCCAACAAAAACCAAAGCGCAAACCAAACAGAAACCAAATATGTCAACAAGCACGGCTATCAATTTCCTAAGGAGTAACCCTACGAAGTGCCTTTAAGCATCTTCTTTGAGGGGGGGAGGGAGGTTTGGTCCCTTGGTGTCTACTCAGCGCCAAAGCCATGAGTCCTGGAGGACTGACAATGTTCGGAGGACTGTGGAGGTTAGTGGCTTTCAAATATTTGTAGTAAATAGTTAGAAACTCCAGATTTAGAGGTGACCTGGGGTGGTGGAATCAAGCCTGGACAAGACCTTCAGCTGTAGCAGCAGAGATCTTCTACTGGGCCTTTATCTCTAACCTTTTTTTAAAAAAAATCTCTGCTTTGGATGCTGAGTCTAAATTAGGTCACTGAAGCCATTTTTCTTACCACGTTCTCCCACCAGATGATGGAGCTTCCCATAGCAATCTGCGTTCAGGTGGGCTGGGCTGCTGACCACAGGCATGGGAGAGGTGGCCTCACCACCCTCGTTTTTCTTCCCTTTGGACAAGGGGGGGACACTGGCTTTGTTTGCCGGAGAAGGCAAGATGGTGGGGTAGTTCGTGCTGCTGCGATTGGCAGCTTTGCTACCCGCAGCAATGCTGGAAGACTTGCATTTCACCGAGGTCCCTTCCACGTGGCAGTCGGCGTGGTAGATACTGTGGATGGACTCCGTATCTGCAGCTCCACCACTTGGGTGGCTGGGCGAAGATGGAGGAAGCATCAGTTGGCTTCCAGGCTTCATGACATCCAACTCCAGGTCACAAATCCCTGGGTTGGCCCTGGGCCCCTGGGGGCTCCCGTTGCTGATGTGGTAGTGGTGGTGGTGGTGGTGGTGGTGGTGGATCAAGTGGTGGATGGACATGATGCGCCGCTTGCCGCTCCGCTGGCCCTGAACATCGTCTGTGCCACTGTTGGGGTCGACTTTTTTCTGCCGCTTGCTCTGCCAGTTGTTGTACAGGCGCAGGGCCCTCCGTTTGACTTTCCTGAAAATGTGGCAGATGTATTTGAGGAGCTCTTCGTAGCAGCTTCCCGGCTCAGAGAAGCTGGCAATTGTGCTGTCGTTGGAGAGGTAGCGGGCTCGCTGCTCCTGCATCAGCTGGTTCTCCCGCTGTTTGGTTTCAGAAAACTGTGTTGCTATCACAACCAGGCACAAGTTAATCATGAAGAAAGAACCAACCTGGGAGAGCCAAAAGAAGACAGAGAGTGCTTGGAGATGGAGGCAACCGGCCAGGCTCACCCCCCCACACCCACCCATTGAGGGAACACCATGCAGAGCTTGGCTAAAGTTGACCTTGGTCAACTCTTCATGGCCGGGTGTGTTGGGCTGACCTAGCAGGAACAGGCAAACAAGGAAATAGAGTGACCCAAGGAAAGTGTCCATGGAGATTCCCAGTCATCCAGGTCATGATGGTCCCAAAGGGGTTTTCTTCGATTTTTCCTTGAAGACATTTCACTTTTCATCCAAGGAGCTTCAGAACTGAAGAAGAAATATCTTCAAGGAAAAGCAAAGAAAGTCCAGTTGCCTTTTGGGAAAGCACCTTTGGGACATCCAAGAAAGGCACCTTGAGTGAACTCAGCCAATGTAACCATAACAGCAACTTTTTTTGGTTCTTCCTGAAATGGAAATTTTAAGGACGGCCAATTGCTGGTACTCTGAAAAGCACCACTGCCATAGTCATAATTGACTCCCCTTCGCATTTCCTCTCCGTAAAGAAATAGAAATGCATTCTGGACCCGTGGAACTTTGAAGAGGTTTATCCCCAGCTATCTGGCTGGGGAATTCTGGGAGTTGAACTCCACAAGTCTTAAAGTTGACAAGGCTGAACACCTCTGATTTAGACTAAGAAGACCCAGGTATGTTAAGAGCTGATAGTCAGCCAAAAAGGAGCGTGAAGATGGGTGCTTGTGAAATAGGAGTGGGGATTCAATCAGGTGGTCATAGGGTTTTTTGCCCCTCCTCAGACACCCCTGAATTAGTTCAAGAGCCTAGTCCAGGATCTGATTTCAGACTGCAACACGACTCTTTTGACTGCAACACGACTCATCCTACTTAAATAGTCTGAAATCAGCCCACCCCCTACAACTGGGTCCTACCCCCTACTCCTAATATATCCCAGAAGTCAAATAAACATGGCCTTCCCATTCCCCAAACATCACTGTAGATCATCAGATGAAGAACTTTGCATCTAGGTGATCCGCCTCAGAACTATGGCTCCATTCCCCTTTTGGAACTGTGGTGCCCACCCCAGGAGACAGGCATCCAAGGAGGGTCTGGCCAAGGCAGAACTAGGGCTAAACTGCCCCCCCCCCCCCCCCCCCAGTGAAAACAGGGCCTTTTCTGGGCAAAAGCCCTGGGATATTTGGAGCCAGGAGAAGCTGGAGGTGCTGCCAAGAAAGTTCCCGTCTGCTTCTCTCTTCCTCTTTAGTGCTGCTCCTCTGATGTGAACAAACTTCCCTCTTAGCTTCTTAACGTAAACCACCAGGACGGAAAGCTTAATGCAGACATAAAGGCTTTGTGTGTGTGTGTATGTGTGTATGTTATTGCTAGTGGAAGTTGTTAATGGCCCACTTGGCGATTTCACATGGGCTGGAACCTTGGATGTGCTTCAAACAAGCTGCTCCCACTCCAAGTGCTGAGAGTAGATTTTCAGGAATGAAGACTGTATCGTGCACGTCTTGGTTATGGGCAACCTGGCTTTGGAATTTGGGGGTAGTCTAGCTGCGAGGACATTTAGACCCGGGAGAGGTTTGCAGCTTTCCACAGCCATGGCAGGTGTTATGAGGAGATCATTTACCTGGACAGAAAGGGTGTTTTTTAAAAAAGGGGGGGCTGCACAGCTGTACAGTGATTCTACGGTCATTGCCACCCTCTTTAACCTTAGATGCCCCCCACCCTGCAGACGCCCTCGGCTCAAAGGATCCTTTGCCTGGCCCCTCATCCTTAAGAGCCACGGGGTTAACCTGAGCTGCCAGCCCCCTGTCCCACCCCATACTTACTATTATAAGTAGTATAAAATATATAAAATTGTAAAAAGAGTGTGCGTCCATAACATAATACATGATGTCAACCCATCCTTCCAGGGTTATAACCTGTAGGAGAAGCAGAGATGAGAGAAACGCATTAGGAACGTCATCAGGGACCAGCTAAGAAGCAGAAAATCCAGGAAGGACCCAGCTATCTCCCCGCTGCCCTTCCGGTCTTTTCTGGGCTGTTCTTCCAACCGCTCCCTCCCCGCCCCCACCCTTCAACATTTATCCCGCTCACACAGAGTCCTTGTGGGCACCCAGGGCTGGAGAACGCAAATAGCAGCGGCTCTCACCCCCCTCCAGTGAAGGAAAGCAGAGCCTTGCCGAAGACGGATCTGTGGGTCGTTTCCTCCCTCGTTGCTTTGATGGGCATTTGAGCTGGCAGAAGAGGCTGAAGGGGAAACCAAGGACCAGGATCTCTCTGGGTTTGTTCACCTCCAGAACCTTCCACTGGGTCAACTTGCTTCCCATGCATGGATATCATGAGCCAGCCTGTGGACTGCATGAGCTGCCCAGTGGTTCCCCTCCGTCAGAATGAAGCCCCCTCTGTCCCTGAACCCAACAAGCGGAGGATTTGAGCTTTTCCCAAAATTAAAAGGGAGAAAGTGGGATGCCCATTAAGGCTTCACCTCCTGCCCTCCATAAAATTTATCTGCTCTTGCAAACTATTTGTTCTCCTGCAAGACTCCAAGCTCTGCTGTTTCATCAGATGCCCCCCCCGTTCACTGTTGCTGCAAGACAGGAGGAGCCCAAGCAGATTATCCAAATTGACGCCAACTCAAGAAAGAAAAATATAAAGATTAACATCAAAGTCTGTTGGTGGTTAGTTATTCTTGTATGCATGCACGCACACACACACACACACACACACAGAGGCACGGCTGGTTTGTTAAGATTTGTAGGAGCCCGGAGGAAGAGTCTTTCTCTGTGGGGCTGTCATTGCAATAATGAGAGCTCTTCTGTTTTCCCCAATTTGCCCCACATTTCCTTCCAGGGCACGTTGTTCTTAAATTTGGATGGAAGTCAAAACTTGGGAGCAATGAACTAAGAAGAACGATGACGTGGTGAGACCTTCGGGCCAGTCTTCGGAGCAGCTGAGCCACGATGAGCAATTGGGACGTGGGGGGGGGATATATTTCCATTTTAAATGCTTCCCGTGGGTCAAAATCAACCGGCCCAAGCTACAAGGAAGGAGTGCTAGGTTTCTGCTTGCAAGGCTCGGTACATGGAAGCAGAAGCTTTCTAGCAATTCACAAAGCCTCAGGAGGGCCATCACGTATCCCCCCTGCCTTTTCCGCGTGGAGAATCTGCCTCCCACGGAGGCCCGGCTTTCAGACCTGATCTCCGTGGCTGAGCCCATAAACGGCCCTAAATACACCGTGAAGGCTTTCTTTTTTCCCTGGCTCAGCAGCCTGCATTAGAGTTGCATAATTGTCCTTGCTGCTGTCACCATCAAACGTCTGAAGAAGGGGAAGGATGTTTTAATTACACGGAGAAGCCACGGCACTCGGCTACAGCTTCCCATTGTCTTTTTGCTACGGAAGAAAAGAACCGAAGACCGAATTAACACCACAAGAAGCAAGTTGTGCTGGAACCTGCAAGTGGGCAGGTCTGAAGGTTGTCGTGAAACGGTCAAGGTGGGGCCACAGGGGCACATGGACAAGGCACATAAAAGCAGGCGAAGCATCAATTCCAACCTTGTGAGCACCATCTTGGTTTTTTTCAGTCCTACCTTGCAGACGCAAAGGGGGAAGCCACTCCTTCACACAACCCTTGCGCTGATGCACAATCCTGGTTGCACAGAACGCCCACCACCACCACTCTATAGTCCAAACGGCAAGAAGGAGGGAGAGAGTGCCAGGTGGCCTTTCCTGGAGATGCCTTTGGGCCAGTCAACCTTGGAAGATCGTGAGAACTTCAGCTGGCTTAAGCTTGGGTCGTAGAACCTGGCTGGCCTCATCTGGGCTGAGAAGCTAATCTCAGGATGCTTCGGCCGAGGGATCACTCCTTGACCAAGTATGGACACGCAGCAGAGACTTCAGGATTGTCACACAGACACATACGTGAGTCGTAAGCCAGTACCAGGCAGCCAGGCGTTTTCCTGGCCCAGGGTGGGACTGGACTTCCTCAAATGGAGGGTCTCCACTCAAAAAACTCTTCTCCAGGTAACTGAGAATGAACTAACTCAAGGAACTCAACATCCCACGGTGAACCCTGTTTTCAGGCTGCTGTAAAAGAGGGTTTGGACAATTCCTGGGGGGAAATTCAGCGGGTGGCTCACTGGAAGGATTCCTCCAGGTTCAAAAATGGCCTATCTGGATGCTGATGGTGGGCAGGAGACCCCCAGAGAAGAAGGGCCCCTTGTTTTTTCCTTGTAGGCTGCCCCAGAAGCCTCTGCTCGGCCGTGCTTGGAAATACGATGCTGACGTTTGTCATTCTTCTCCATTGATCCATGGACCTTTCCTCATTCCCCCATTGACACGTCCCTTATCAACACCCCCCCTCCCCAAGAGCACAAGCCCTGCCTGCTTTCTGGGAAGTCCCTTCCAAGGACTCCGAATCCCCCCAGGGTGGAGCTTATCTGAAATAAGGTCTAATAACGTGAGTTTCAAACAAGGCTGCCGCGGGAGGGAAGAGGTTGAAAGATGATGTCTCAGCCTCCATCACATCAAAGTCCTTCTGGCTGACTGCAAAAGGAAAAGATGGAATCCGGCCAGTTGCCCGTCTCCTGTCTTGGCACCTCAACTTGGGAGCAGCTGGGCAGCCCTGAAGGCTCCTCCTCCTCCTCCTCCTCCTCCTCCTCCTCCTCCTCCTCTGAGCCGTGCTGGGAATCCAGAGCTGGGAGGCATCTTGTAAGGGAAACCGAGGCACCGCTGGCACGCCTTGGTCCCACGCCAGGGTTTCCCTTCTGTCACCATCCCTCGTCTTCCTAGGATGGGTTTCTCTTCTCGTCACTCGGCTGGAACAGCTGCAGAAACAGGTGGCGGCTGCTTCTCCCGAGGAAGAACGAGCGGAGGGACCCCAGGATATTGGAGAGGGAGGGGGCTTCCTTGCAGCAAGAGAGCCTCTGAATGGAATTCAGGGAAAGGAAATAAGTGGGAAGAAGACTCCGGGGTTCCTCTCCTCCTTTTGTTCATGTGTGGGGGGGAATACAGAGAGAGAATCGTGGTACAGGGTCTGTTTCCTGCCCTGCAGAAATTCCCCTTCCTACCTGGTGGACTTGGAGGTGCTCAAGGAAATGCAATCTCCTTGTCTCAGTGCCCGCTGGAAGGCGAAGTATGGGCTCTGTTCACACCAGGTGCTTTGCACCTCAGGCCAAGATGGAGGAGTTTTGCAATTCTACAAAACGCTTCGCTTTGTTGCAATTATTCTGGTTTGGTCTTTCTTTGTGGGGCTTAGCGGGCTATTGGTTAGTTTGATGTGAGGTGCGCATCATGCCGAGCCAAGGCGGCCTTTGGGCTGGCCAGAGGATTCCAAGCGCTGCAGTGCTGTGACCCCTTAAAATGGTACATGGATTTGTGTGACCCTCTCATGAGTAAAACAGATGCTTCCATCGCTTTTTTCCTTTTGCACTGAGGAAGCCGGTTGCCCTCGGAAAATGGCAACTTTCTCCTGCAGGATGTGCCAAATTAACTCCCAGTCTGGCTCCAAAGTCCAGGAAGGAAACTGTCTCCCCTGGGAGACATGGAAGAATTTGCATGGGAAGAATTATTCTCTTTTATCTCTTCAAGACTTATTATTTTACTCTCTAAAATATTTTTAATTTTCTGCTTCCAGATCAGGACACATTTTTCAAAAGAAATCTCCGAGATCCTCCCTCCCTCCCTCCCTCCTTTGCTTGAATTTTCTCCAAACAAACCACCATCCCAACCTTGGAATGAAGAAGCTTCTGGCAAATGGACCTCTCCATCTCTTGGCCTGTCAACAAGTCCCAGCGCAAGAAGCGGGTTTTTCTAAGGATGCAGTGACTCTCTGAAAAGCGAAAAGCTCTTTGTTTCCTTGATGAAAACTGGTGGAGAAGCAATCTCTCCTGTTTCTCTGTCCACAGAAGTCTGGGAGGTGGTTTGCCCAGAAACTTCACAGCCCCACAAAACATTGATCAACTGCAACTGTAGTAATGGAAAATAAATTGTGCTTCATTACATATTCATGAGGCTTGGTTCATCATGCTAATTAGCCCCAGCATTTGCTGTGCTGTGGCAGGCAGGAAAATGGAATTCATGGTTTTGTGGTGTGCGAGCGCATCCATCCAGCAAGCCAGCCCTGCAGATTGGAGGGTGGAAAACAAGAAGCCAAGATTTGGAATGGTTTTCTTAGGCAAGCCCAGCCACAGCCAAGAACTGGACAAATCACCTGTGGCAATATTTCACTGGATTAAAGGGGCGAAGCAGATCTGCTCTGAGCCCGTGAAGAGTCTTGCGTAATTGCTAAGAGTGACACCCTCCCTTTCCCTGGAGAGATGGTCTCCAAGGCCTGACTGGCAGCATGGGGGCTCTCTGTGCCTACTCATTTTCCTATCTCCAGATGCCAGGGCTCCTTTGCCAGCCGAGAAGCTGTGGAAGACTCATCCAAGACAAGAGCAGAGCCAGCCAGATAATTCCTTGGATGGAGGGAGGCGAGATGTCTCTTTCCATGGCATTCTGGGGTTCCTGCAAATTCCACCCCTTTCTGGTGAAATGCAAGAAAGTGTCATCCATTTTTCCTCTGTAAGCAGGAGGAGCTTTGATCTGGAGCCTGAATCAAATCAGATCCTATTGCTGGATTTCTCATCATTTCTGGGCTCTGCGCCCATCCCTCAAAGCAACTGTGGGAATCTTCTGCACACTGCTGAAGAAGCAAGGCATTGTTGGGACATTGCCTTGTTCCCACAAATTGTGGGGTAGAGAGCCGTGCCCTACCCAAAAAACCGAGAAGCAATTTTTGCGTGTCTTGAACTAAGCCTTCTTTGGTCCCAAGGTGGCTGCATTTGAGACCCACAAAGGTTTGCAGGCGTGATGCCTCCTGGAATAAAACGAACCCTGGGTGAATTGTGTAGAATTCTAAAGCACATTTGCTTGAAATACGCAGGAGGGAGAACCAGGGGAGCGCAGGAAGAACATTGCGTTCCAAAGAGCTATTTTGTTGGAAGGCATTTCCCTTGATGGCTCAACCAAGCCCTGCTAAAGAGGCTTCCTTGGCCTTCTCTTGGCCGTCTGCAAGGTGGAATTCCTTCCCTGCTGACAGAACCAATCTGTTGGTGAAAACCCGTCAGCCTTGCTGAGAAAAACACGTGCGCAGAATGTCCGAGAGAAGACAACCTCCGTTCACCTCCCCTCTCTTTCCTGAAGCTGTTGGGGAGAGAGGAGCAGAGGAGAGGAGAGGGGCTAGAAAATGAAATCCTGAATAATATTAAAGCTGCTGTCAGCAGCACCCAGAATTCCCTGCAGGATTTTGATAACTTCTTTGGACAGAAGGAAGCTGTAGGGGCTCATGATCTGCACAGCCCAAGAAAGGAAGGCTGAGCAGAAGCAGTGAATCTACCAACCTTTGCTTCCTCCCTGGATTCAGAAGGTCTGGCTTCTCCTGCCAGATGTGCAGAGTTTGATCCATGCTGTGCCAGCTTGGGACTCAGGCTGGCCCAAGTTAGCTGTGCCACAAGGGTCAAGAAGATGAGGTAGAGCCGAGGGCTGGAAGAACCCACCAAAGGGTTAATAGCCCAGAATAGACTCCCAGGGGAATCAGGAAGCTGCTTGTAGCCCTACCTGCCAGGTGTTCTGCAACTGCACCCCCCCCCCCCCCCGCCCAGGTTTAGGGATCAATGCAAAAAGGAATCCTGGCAACTTAAGCAAAACACTGAGCATTCTTGTAAAGGCCAACCCTTGGAAGTCTCCTTGGAACCAGCCAGGTGTGTTCTGAAGAGGAGGGGGAGAGGCGAAACTGATTCCCGCGAGGCCAGAATCCTCCTGCAGCGATTGCACTTCCAACTGGTAGAACTCCAGAGCGCGACATGCGCTGAACGCTTCATTTACCTCTTTATTTACTCCTGCCAACAACTGACACGGTCATATAATGAGGTGGGCAATGCACCTCACAGAGGGGGGTCAGCAATAAGCCGCACCCCCGCCAGTTCCTGCCTCTGTAGCTTCTTGGAGGGACCTGAAATATTTCACCACTGAATATTTCGGCCCACCTTCCCTCTTTCACTCCAGAAGGTAATTGCTTCTCTGCATCAGAGCCGAAAGCCCATTACACAACAAGGGCACAACAATGGTGGGTGCTTTGGAGGAGGGCAGAGGAGAGGATGAGGGCCCCCCAAACGCCCCTGGGATTCCCTCCCCCACCTCCTTCGGCTCAAGGTGAGCAGCAGCTTTCCGAAGGCTGCCTTCCTGCCCTTCAGGAGCCCGGCAGGGCCTGCTTTGGGGAGGGGGCCCTCCTGGGCTCCTTGGTGCTCTCTGAGCTTGGCTGCTTTCTGGCAGGCCTTCCTTCCAGCACTGAGGATGTTCCCTAGATGGGTCACGAAACAAGAAAGCAACCACGCTCAGGGAGCACCAGGGACCCCACAGCCCTCCTCCTCCTCCTCCTCCTCGCACGGATGACATTCCCTAGCTGGGTCATGGGCCATCTGCAAGAAAACGTTTCTCATCGTATGATTTTAGTTACTTGTGTACTGCTGCCACTTGCACCGAGTTCTTGTTAGTTTGCAACAATAAAACAAGAACCAAAGTTATTTTGCTTTGCCGGCCCTCCCAGGGCAGAGGAAGTGTGTTGTTGTTAGCGGCATCAACCATCCTTGAGGATAGTTCCACATCCCGGCAGCTGCTCATCTCAAACCCCCTGTCGCGATCCACAAAAGGAGCCCCCTTACCTGAAAAATAGCTATCCAAGCATAGCCAATATTATCAAAATTAATAGCTCCATTGTGTGGGTTCAAGTCCCCTGTCCTGCAAACATTGTAATACTGGTTCCAGTTAATGCAGCCGTTGCGGCCGCTCAAGTCCAGCGAGTCCAATTGTGGGTTGTAAGCGTCCACGGTTAACGTGCAGTCCATCTTGGACTCCTTCCGGTTTGGGATGCTGGAGCACTTCTGCATGCCGTTATCCCGGAGGGACGAACAGATGAAGGGATTCTCCTCGCTCTCTTCCGGCCGGTAGTACTTATGCAGGAAAGTCAGGTTGTGTGTCCTTGAGAAGGAGAAAGGAAGGAAGGAAGGGGGGTGGGTGGAGGGAATAGAGCAAGCAGATAATATTCCGGTACCTAAAAACATGAATTCCTGTTCAGCCAAGTGGGGAAAAAATGCAAGAATGGGTGGGGGGGAGGAAGGAGAAACCAGTGGCAGAGCCAATGCTTATCTGAACCGGGCACAAGCCAGTAACGATAATCATAAAAGGACAAAAAAGTCTGCAGGGTGGACATTGCAGTACCTGGAGGCAGCAGCAGAGGAGAGAAAGAACAGAATAGAGCTGGAAGGGACCCTGGAGGTCTTCTAGTCTAGCCCCCTGCTCAAACAGGAGAAGCTATCCCGTTTCAGACAGGTGGCTGTCCAGTCTCTTCTTAACAGCCCCCAATGATGGAGCAGCCACAACTTCTGGTGGCAAGTAGTTCCACTGGCTCATTGTCCTCCCTGTCCGGAAGTCTCTCCTTCCTTCCAGGTTGCTTCTCCCCTTGATGAGTTTCCACCTGTTGCTTCTTGTCCTACCTTCAGGGGCTTTGGAGAATAGCTTGACCCCTTCCTCTTCTTTGGGGCAGCCCTTCCAATCCTGGAAGGCTGCTATCATGTGTCCCCCCCCCCCCCCCGGTCCTTTTTCCCTCCCCTAAAGTAGCCAAACTTTAGTGGACAATTGCCAAAGGAAGCTAGAGTTGGAACAGCTGACATCCTGTGAGGACAGGTCCCCGGAAGGGCTCGAAAGGGGGACCAGTCTAAATATCTGGCCAACTAGATAGCCAAGCATCAAAATGGGAAGCAAATGTTTCCAGACTTCTCACTACAAATAGATGCACTGAGGACTCTTTGGCGGCCCAATTCTCTATAAACCGTTCCAGTTGTTGCTTAAGCTGCAAAGCTGCGCACTGTCGCTTTTAAAAGAAAACAAGAAAATAGGTTTTCGGCTTGGCTGCATTCACAGCAGCTGCCGTCTTTAACCATGCAGAAAGAGTAGGCGAGGCAGAGAAGTTTCCGATGGGGTCCTTGATACTTTCTGAGCCTGGTGATTTTCCTGCATTTCATGACCCACTTAGGGAACCTCATCAGTACCAGAAGCTAAAGTCTTCCTCCCTTCTAGCACTGATGTTGTTACCTAGTTGGGTCATGAAACATCTGCAAGAAAACAGCCAAGCTCAGAGAGCCCCAAAGACTCCACAGTCCTCCTCCTCCTCCTCCCCTTCTCTGCAAACCCACCCTCTTCTAGCACTGATGAAATGACCTAGACGGCTCATGAAACGTCTGCACGAAAACAATGATGCTCAGAGGGCACCAAGGACCCCACAGTTTGATTCTGAGCTGCAAATATTCTCTTCCAGAAGTTTCTTGTCATTACATGGAAGGCCAGGAAGAAATGCAATAGGAAAGGCTAGTTCACAGGGCGACGATTAGCCTGTGGAATTCACAGCCACAAGAAAGGACATCCTTTCTTGAGAGGCTGCCCAAGGGCTGGTATCAAGAGTTTGGCCGATCCAATCTCCCTGAGACTTGGACCTTTCCTTCTGGCGTCTCCATGGTCCAACTCTCTTGGACGCCCCCACAAAGTTCTTCCTTTCTGAGCTATGTATTATTATTATTATTATTATTTTTACAAAATCTCTCCCTTGGCGCATCTGTTAAGGAAAGGACCCTCTTTTGGGTTGCAAAAAGAGCAGAGAAAAAGAAATTAAGCGGTGCTGAAGGCTTATCTCAAATCTTTTTTTCCTTGTGCTGGGATTGGACTGGCTGCTCGGCAGAGATAGTAGCCGGTGTTAATTGCGAAGGAGTGGGTGACTTGTTTTTCTAACCTTTCCTTTGCTTTGATCAGACCGTCAGAAATAGGCAGAATTTTTTGGCCACCAGTTGTGGGGAGGGACTCCGTTTCCGTAGATGTCTTTGAAGAGCCCTCCCCACTGTGGCCGTTTCTTCCCACCCAGAATAAGGGTATCATTGCCAATGGTCCACCTCTTTTGTGGTGCAATATTGGAAGACATTCCTCCATTCCCGGGGCCCCCTCACAAATCTCCCCCCACCCACCCACCCATCCAGGATCCTTCCAACCTTATTGCTCTATGTTCTGTCTCAGTCTCCAGGGGCAAAAACCTACACTAGAGAATTGTTGCAGTACTGAAGGATTGCAGAGTCAACCAGGGAAAAAATCAACAGAAATAGCCCCCAATCCAGAACTGCTTAGGATCCTGGTTTCCGGGCCTGGCTCAAGGCAACGGGAAGAATTTGTACCCCCATTCCCAGCCTCCAGGCACAGTTGATGCTTGTAGTAACAGAATAACAGAGCTGGAAGGGACCTTGGAGGCCATCTAGCCTAACTCTCGCTCAGGCAGGAGACCCTACACCATTTCAGACCAATGGCCACCCAATCTCTTCTGAAAAACGTTCAATGGAGCACCCAACTTCTGGATGCAATAAATAAAATACCATTGATGGCAAACTTGGATATATTGCCTCCTTCCATAGATTTAAGTTAATTTACCCCTCCTCTTTTTGGGGGGGGCATAGTGTGTGCGTGTGCAGATGTGTGTATGTATAATTCTGTGTGTTGCTTTCCGTATTCTTTCCCTGTTACCTCTTCCCCATCATAGTAGGGTTGAGCTAACTCGAGATGGGTGGCATATACACTTCATAAATGAATAAAATGGCAAGAGGGATATTTGGCCGCTATTTGGCTGCTGCGGCTGATTTCTGGAACCCTCACCAGCATCGATCCCAGATTCCATGGCAAGAACTCTCATTCTTATCTAGTTGGCAACTTGAACAATGTTTGTCCTAACTATGAGAACAATCTGCCAGTGGGACAGCTGTGGGGGCTCCATCCCTGGAAGTTTTTAAGAAAAGGCTGGACGGCCACCTGTCTGGAATGGTCTAGGGTCTCCTGTTTGATCAGGGGGCTGGACTAGAAGATCTTCAAGGTCCCTTCCTGCTCTATTTCGATGGACTGAAGCGAACCTGCACCACTCTCAGGACTAATTAGCAGTGCTGGAAAATGTCATTCGCACTCAGGTCGGCAGATAAGGGTGTCGGACCCCCAATGGCTCTTATCAGCAAACCAAGCGCCCCCTCTCCTTTTCTGGGGGCATCTGCGAAGATAAGGCAGGTGCTGCAGCCAGCAGAGGTTTTGAGGTCTCCCTTGACCTCAGCACCATCTCCACAGCAGGACGAATTGTGTTCCGAAGCCGCCTCAACTTATTTTAAAACCTCAGGCAGAAAATCCCCTCCTCCTCCTCCCCCTCCTCCTCCTCCCCTCCTCCTCCCCCCTCCCCCTCCTCCTTTATCAGCAAAAAGCCAACACTCTACTAAAGTAACTATTTGCCGTTGCTTGGTGACCGGCAGAATCGGCTGCCCGCCTCTAGCAACTGTAGGGCTGGTGCGAGAAGAGGGAAGGAGAGGGTCACCTTTGGAAAACTTACCTTTGCAAGGGGGAATCCAGGAAACACCTGTTCCTCAGCAGCCCGGCCCAGAGCTGCACCCCCACGATGCCAAAGATGAAAAAGACGAAGAAACACAAGAGGAGGACGTTGCCTAACATAGGCAGAGTGTCTAGGAGCAAGGTGACAAGAATGCGCATACCTGTGGAGAGAGCAGAAAGGAGGGGTCAGGAGGAGGAGGGGGGGCTTGGGCCAAATTGGGACACAGGTCCAGGCAGATGAAGCTGCTTCCTCCAGGCAGAACATCTGTAAGGGGCCTTCAGGGAGAGGTCGGGTGGTCTGGGGGCTGGCTGGGCTCTCGGTTAGAGAATACGGACGAAGGATGGAGCGCTAAGGGGAAGAACTTCCTTCGAGTCCAGCTAGTGGCTCCATGTCCAAATGGTTCTCCTGGTGAAGCTTGGAGAAGGTTGTCCTAACCTTCTTCTGGTTTTAATCTATAGCTTCCAACTGTGGATATTTTTGATGGATCCCCTCATCCAAGGAACCCAACTTAGCTTTCTAGATCAGTTAAAGTCAGCCAGGTTTCTTGAGCCACTTGCTGGACTAATGGTCAACATCTGGTAACTTCACAAGCACCCCTCCCCCCTTCAGCTTTCTCTACTGATGTGTCATTGGCATCTGGGTCTAGCCCACAGCTTTCCAATTTCCAGAGGGCTTCCCCATCCAATACATAAAACATAGATGGCCAGCCCATAGCATGGATTCAATAAGCCATGGATACGTCTTTAAATTAGCTCTAGGCCTGACATCTCGATGCAGCGAGCGATCTTAAGGGTCCACGGTATGAGATAGGAGGTGCAACAAAACACATTCAGTCAGTGTTTCTCAGCCTTGAGAACATGAAGCTGTGTGGACTTCAACTCCCAGAATTCCTCAACTAGCCTAGGCTGGACAGTTCCGGGAGCTGAAGTCCACACAGCTTCAAGCATCTGCATTAAGCCGTTATCAAAAAGAAAATGTATTAAAACTTAAACTGGGGGCCATCAGAAGTGGAACAGCTCAATCCTGAGATCAAATGACCTCAAGGTGCACTTGAACTGAAATAACTATTAATCAATACTGTCAGTTTGCTAGCTGATAATGGAGAGGAGATTCTCTCTGCGTCCGGTTCTTAGCCAAGTTGTTCCGAGGCATTTTCCATCCTGCCTTTTGTTGCCTTTGGCTGGGGGTGGCTGGGCAAACCGTAGGCCATCTTCAGCCATCATAAGACTGGTGGGAAGAAGGCCGGGTACCTGCTACCACTGGCAGAATCCAATTTATAGGAGAAGAACTCAACAAATGTTAAGGCTTTGCTGTGAATTGGGGGATCAGAAAGGATTACGCAGATAACCGATCTGCTATCTAAGATTCATTATATCCCACTGTTGTCGATTTGCTCCACGGCTGGCTGATCCCTGCGGAGGAGCTACGTCTCACATCAAAGGGGATCTGGGAATGACTTCCTACTTGAAAGGAAGCTGCTGGGTTGGGTTGAACCCGGGATCTTCCTAACCAGCTGAGCCCTAAGCTGCATCCTTGAAGACTTCTGGAAGGGAGGGGCTGCTCTGATTTGGAATTCTAAGCTGAGCTTCAGGCTTCTCTTAAATAAGGAAGCCCGCAAAGAATCTGCATAAACAGAAGGCCGATAAGACTGATGCAAATGTGAATATTAGTACTAACGTTTTCTTAGATGATTAGAATAAGTGTTGCTCTCCCTTTTGCTCACTCAGAGACAAACGAAACCAAGCAAATTATGTGGGCCCTGCAAACAAACCGCCCAGAATAAACTCAATTTAAGAGGGCAAGGAGGTTGGCTGCCTTTATTGCCCCAGAATAGGACAGCTGCATACCTCCAACTCCGGGGTTCTGTAAACCCACATTTTATTCCAGTAATCAAAACCCTCCCACCTTCCTTGGACACAACGGGCCTCTGTAAGCCAACTGGTCAACGTTTGGTGTCTTCCACCTTGGCACCCATGGGTGGGGCTCCCTGACTGAGCTCAGGGTGGGAGAAAGAGACGGAACGAAGCCTCCCCCGTCACGGGGAGCCATTTTCAGGTTAGAAGAGGGAACAATGCCGTTCAGAGGCACTTCGGTTTTATAGCTGCAATAATCAATATCTGAAAATGGACTGAGATCCAGAAGTTGCTCAAGGCTCCTCAGGAGCTGCTCCAAGATCTCTCTGGGGCTCGGGCTCGTCTTCCTTGAGGTCACCCTGACCTTCTGGATTGGGGGAGAAGGCATTCGGGGTCCCTCTTCAATGACGTGGCTTGTTCGTGACGTCTAAATCGGTCCAGCCCAAAGTTTGCACGGAAAGTCTTCATGTGCACAGTTGGAACCAGAATTTCCACTGCTAAGCAAGGCAGGTGCTAACAGAGTCCTGCCCGATTTTATGACCTTTGCTATTGGTTGTTAAGTGAGCCACACAGTTGTTAAACAAATCCAGCATCTCCAACTGGCTTTGCTTGTTGGAAGCAGGCTGGGAAGATGGCCCCGGGATGCTGCAACCCTTGTAAACCCCTGACCGTTGCCAAGGGCCTGAATTTAGATTACCTTCCCTCCCCGTGACAGAGTTGAGTAACATCTGCAAGCAAACGACCCAGCTCAGAAGGCCCCAGGAGTCCAGGGGACAGAAATTATCCCGCAACCTCTCAAGGCCAGGACTTCTCTGTCTGTCTGTCTGTCTGTCTCCTGCTTCTCCGCTTCTCGTCAGTAAACCAGTTCCAGCGGCCTCCATATTCCACCGGGGAGAATTTAATCCAAATGTTCCTTTCCTGTGCAAGAAATGCCAGACTCCAAGCGGCCGTCCTCAAAGGGCACGGCAGGAAGGGGGTGCAGGGGAAGTGCTCGGACTGGCACATCTCCCTTGGCCAAGGCAGCCGGGAGAGATGTCGACCCCCAATCTCCAGGTTCTGCAGAAGAGCCTTTCAGACAATGCGCAAGAACGTCGACGCTGCTTTCTGGGCAAGTACCTCGCCTGTTTTTCTTCTGTTACATCGGCTCTCAGCGAAATAGGATTTCTGATGAAAAGCAATCAAGGAGCTGCTGTATTAGCATATCAGCTAAGAATCACTCAAAGCCAAGTGGGCACAACCAGGAAATGAATTCGACTGGTTGGCTTAGCCTCCAAATTGGATTGAAGAGAAAAACAGCTGGAAGGGGCTTAACGCTCACTTGAACCTCTCCAGGCAGGCCAACCCAGGACAGGTGTGGCCTCGCAGCTGCAGGGCTGCCGAAAGCGTCTTTGCAGAACCAGAAATCCAGTCAACAACCTTCGTGGGGAATAAGGAAGCGGGGACCGAAGGGGAGATCCCGGATGACAAAATGCGTTCCACTCCGTTCCAAACTGAGGACTGAATTTGAGCAGAACTCAGTGGATTCCAGACACTGCAGAACTAGAGAACTGGAGATCGAGAAAACTAGAGACCCCCTTCCAGTAGCCAGAAAGAAGAGCTACCCCCTAAAGCACCTGAAGGCGGGGAAAAAGCAACAATGGATGGGAACCAATTAAGGAAGAAGCAACCGAGATCTAAGGAGAGATTTCCTGGCAGTGAGAAGGAGGTTTTAAGAACGGGTTGGACAACCACTTGTCTGAATTAGTATAGGGTCCCTGCTCGGGCAGGGGTTGGACTAGAAGACCTCCAAGGTCCCTTCCAACTGCGTTATTCTGGAGCTCTCCTGCACCTTCAGGGAGGGGCCAGGAGAACCGTGACCATTGGAAGTCTTCTCCCTCGGCCGTTTCTCCCCGTTGCTCAGGAGCCAACCTCTAGCAATGGCAAAATGGGGTGGGTGGGTCTCCTGGCCTCGCTGTCTCCCCCCAGTAGCCTCCCTTGATGTCCTCCACTCCATCAGGGGCCGGGGGTGGCCACCATCCATTCCGGCTGTCCAGCAGGGTGCGGTTGGATGCAGCTTGGCAGGCTGATCAATCTCGTCTTTGGGGTGGGGGCCGCTTAGCTGAGTCTGGAAATGCCTTGGGCCCTCCCGGGGTCTGCATGTCCTGGGGGGTGGGAGATGTCAAGGATGCCAGCTGCTGAGCAGCCCAGCTGGGGAGAGTCGAGTTGGAACGGATGGCCCCTCCAGGCCGAGTGGGCTGCATTCATCTTCTCTTTCTGACATTAATAGTTTTATTAGCTTTTCCAGAGTAATCCATGAAGACAGAAACAAACATGAAGATGGCCAAGAAAATTACAGCTCTCAAGGTCAACGAATGAGATAAAGAATGAAGACCTGTGTGGAAGGAAGGAAGGAAAGGAAAAGAGAAGGAGGCCGGACTAAAGGAAAGAAGGAAGGAAAACTGGAGGGAGGGAAGGAGGGAGGGAGGAAGGAAGGAAGGAGGTGGAGATGGCCAAGGATTATGGAGTGTTTAGTCCCAAACATCTGGAAGGTACCAGGGTGAAGATCACTGGTTAGATAAGAAGACCCCGAGAGGCTGATGTGAATCTGCTCCCTCGGCTTCTTCCTGGAGGGATCTTAGGTTGCCTTGAGTTTTTTGGGGGGTTGTGGGTGGCGGGTTATGAATGAAATGAAAGCATTCAAATCAGGATATTTTTCCTCCTGGACTGTGGGTTAACCCCCATGTTGGAGCTAAGACAGGCCTGGATTTTGGAGGCTCACCTGGTCAGGATTTCACAGGACGGCTGCGAAATGAAGCTCTGGCAGCCAGCCCACCGGTACCCAAGAGGGGGCTGCAGGACCCAATTCTCCCCACGCATTTGCCCCACCAGGAAGCCGCCCCCCCCCGCCCCAAAGGGCCAGAGAGCTCCGACTTACTTGGCACCCTGTTAATGGCTCGTAAGGGCCTGAGAACCCGCACAGTCCGGATGGCTGAAAGGCTGACATTATGTCCATCCAGAGAATATTCCATCATGCTGGGAGAGAGAGAAAGAAACACGAGAGGTGAGGAAGAGGGCAGGGTTGGCCCCTCTGCTTGGAAAACACAGGCTGAGCCAGTCAAACCTTAACCAGGTCTCTTATGTCTGCAATATTTTTGGTCAACCTTTGGGAGTATAAAACACAGGTTAACTACACTGGACAGCAAGCGCATGCTTTCTTTCAGGAAAAAAAAACCCAACAAGTTAGGAGCATCAAAAGGAACTACAATCATCCCTCCCGTCCCTGTCCACAGGACATCCATTTGGGCCTTCAACATCATCAATCAAGCATGGAGTGTTTTTCATACCATTGATGATGTTACTTAATGGAGTAATGAAACGTCAAGCCAGGTCAGAGTACCTCAAGGACTACAGAGTCCTCCTCCTCCTCCTCCTCCTCTCCAGATACCCCACTCCCTCCTAGCACTGACGATGTTACCCAGCTGGGCCATGAAAGCTCTGTAAGAAGGCAACCCAGGTCGGAGACCCCGAGGGACCCCACCAGAAGCGCTTAGTCTACTGACCCAGCAATGACAATGAAGAAGTCGAGGCGGTTCCAGGTGTCTCCCAGATAACATTTGTGGCCAAAGATCCCCAGGGCAATCATCTTGATGACCATCTCCACAGCAAAGAAGGCGAAGATGAAGTGGTCAAATGCCTGGATTTAAAACAAGAATGGACACAGTAGAGCGAAGGAGGACCGTTTCTTCCATCCTGAAGGCTGACTTTGCGCTTTGCCTGAGCCTCGCCCTAAACCTCAGCCTTCGTTTTACCCCTGAGGGTCTTATACCTTGAAGGTACACCCATCCCGGGCACACCCGACTTGCAGACTTCTCGAGACTAGTAGCTGAAGACCAACCCGTAAGCTGCAAGAGGTCCAAGTCCACACGGACAAAGCGACACGTCTCTCTTACCTCCAAGATTGTGCACCTTTCTGTTTGGCACCTGATATCCTGACATGGCTGGAACATCCCAAGGGTGACGCAATTCAAGAGGATAACCAGCATGCTGACGTGCTCGAACCAGGTGGGAGACCAGAGTTAAGGAGAACCTGAGATGCTGCTTCTGGGAGACCCAACCTGCCTCCCAGGCCTTAGAAACCCCCGTGGCAATCGAGAGCTTGGAATTGGAAGAATTATTTAGAAAGCTGCGATGTCTCTTTTAATATCTACAGCCAACTTACGGAGATAAGTACAAAAACATCCATAAAAACATCTTGAAAAGTGCACTGGAGATAGAACTAAGACAGTGGCCTCCTTCCTTCCTTTTCCTGCCCAGACATGGAGGGGAGAAGAACAGACACACAATTTATATTGATGAATAATGTCTGCAGTCCAAGAACTGAGAAATGAAATAAAGGGGTAGAAAAGGATCACGGAGAGACACAGAAAAGGAGGACAGACTTTTATACAATTTAACGTATTTCCCCCCCTTTCTGGGTTGGCTTCAAAAGACACTCAGCAATAAAAGCACATGCAGGACCACGAAAGAAACCAAAATAACCAAAAGGGAAGCACGAAAATAGTAGTTAAAAAATAAACGCTAGAAAACAAAGGCCAGCAATCTAAGGCGTACTCAGAAACGACCTCTGGCCACAGCTCTCCTGCCACTTCTGAATCCGCTGTGTTTGCCGGCTGGGTATGATGGGAGTTGCAGTACCACCTATCCAGAGAGAACCAGGCTTAGGAAAACTACCTTCACCCCCGGCCTGTCACAAGGGTGAAGGTTGCCCACCTCCTTATCCCGGACAGAGGACGGGTGGGGAAATATTGCTTGCTTAACCCAAAAGTGCTTTTGCCACGAGACAATTGGACTTCCTTGGCTTTTTTTTCCCTTGAAGAGGTTTTGCTTCTCATCCAAGAAGCTTCTTCAGTTCTTCAGTACTGAAAAAGCTTCTTGGGTGAGAAGCAAAACCTCTTCAAGGGAAAAAACCCAAGGAAGTCCAATTCCCTTTGCGACAATCATAATTTGGACGAGCTGGAATCTCCAGAGACGTTGCTTGCTTGAGTTCTCAAAACACCCGCAGAGGTCAACAGGTTTCTTCCAGAAATGGTGCAGCTGCAAAAATATCAGCATTCAAGGCAAAGAGGGTTGAGTTGAGATACGTAAAAAAGATGCTGAGAATCTGGAGAGTCCAGAGAAGAGCAACAAAGATGATTACGGGGTTGGAGCTAAAATACATAAAGAAAGGTTGCTGGAAGTGGTTATGTCTAGTTTAATGAAAAGGAGGACTAGGGGAGACACGGCAGCAGCCTTCCAAGAACTCAGGGGTTGCCCCAAAGTAGCAGGGATCAAGCTGTTCTCCAAACACCCAAAGGCAGAACAAGAAGCAACGGATGGAGTCAATAATCAAGGAGAGAAGCAACCTAGAACTAAGGAGGAATTTCTTGACAGCGAGGACAGTTAATCAGTGGAACAACTTGCCACCAGAAGTTGCAGCTGCTCCAACACTGGAGGTTTTTAAGAAGAGATTTGTCCCTTCCAACTCCATTATTGTCTGTTGTCTAAGACAACCCGAGGTGGACGCAGTCTCTGAGCGGATAGAGATGCACCGGCAGGAAGGAAGGTGGAGGGGAGGTTTTCCAAAGGGACTTAAGGGGAGTGGGTGGGGTTGGAGGCAGGTGCCCCCACCTCAATTCACACCGGTTCCTTTGCAGGTGGCGGAAGGGGAAGGGTTTGCACTGGAAGGGGAAGCGCTTTTGTAAACACTCCACTTTCCCATTATTCAAATCACCCAACTACAAAAAAAAAAAAACCAAAAAAACCCGGGCTATTTGCTAAGTGCTGGAAACTGCAGGGAAGAAAATGAGGAAAAATGACTTAAAGCGGAATTCCCATCAGCAAGCGGCATTTAATTATGCAACAGTGCTGGTTAAGGAACCCCGCTTTTTTAAAAGGAGAAATTGGATGCATTAAAAGTCATTTTACTAGGGAAGGACACACACCACACACACACACACACACAAGCCCACAAAAATGAAACAAAAATAAAAACCGGCTCCCTGAGAGTGTTTTGATAAAAGCGGCAATGTTTTGAACACGGCTTCCAGGGAAAACGTTTTTTCAAGGGAAGAAATCTTGCGAAAACATAGCCTTTTGCCCTTTCAAAGCCGACTTTTCTGAGACGCTTCTTTGTCTTTCACTTAAATCCCAATCTTCTCCACATCAGGGGAGCCATAATAAGAATAAAAAGCACCAGCAAATCTGAGGCATGAAAAGAAGCAAGCAGGCTGAGCATAAAGAGAATTTATTTTTCAACTCTAAATCTGCTCAGGTAAAGAAATATGCTTTTAACTTGATGTCAGAATGAAAGCAACACCATGAAAGCCTCTGCGGTAGGTGTGTGTTTCTTCTGGAGGACACTGCATACATGAGGGACCGGCGGGGGGGGGCGGGGGGGCGGGGGGAGTCTCTTTTTGCCTATTTCTGTCACAAAAAGACTCCGCCATCCTCCCAAGAAGGAACCTGAAGATTTGGAGCAGATCCGCAGGTTCCCCCTGCTCCGGCCCAGATCAAGACACAGCCGCATCTACTCTTCAGTAGGAAGTCAGCATGTCCCAAAGGTGTTTTTTCAAGAGGCAACTGGGTTTTATTTTTCCCTTGAAGACTTTCGCTTTTCACTTGAGAAGCTTCTTCGGTTCTGACTGAATGGTGGAGCATTCCACTAGAACTGAAGAAGCCTCTTGGATGAGAAGCAAAACATCTTCAAGCAAAACCCAAGAAAGTCCAGTTGCCCCTGTAAAAAGGCCTTTGGGACAACCATCAGCTGGGTGACTGAGAATCTCCGTGGGCGTTGAGGAAGCTAGCAGCAGCAGGAAGAAGTGATTGCCTAAGAAATGTTTGCAGGCCACAAGAGCTTCCCACCTCCTCTTCTGCAGAGGGAGCCCCCCATTCTCTCACCAGAGGAAGCTTCTCCTGGTGGGGATCAATGGTGTCCCAAAGCTTCAAACTTCTTCTCATTTTGGGATGAGGCACCTGAACCCATTGAGAAAATGATGTGGAGTGAAGCTACACGCTTCACCTTCTTTTTGACTGAGAGGTGCTACAAAGCCAGGCCTGTCTTGCAAGAACTTGAGGAATCCCTGGCATTTGGTACCTCTCAGAAGGAGCCAAGAGCACATTATGGGATAGATGTGTTGACATAAATACGTCAAGAATTGATAAGGCTGTGCATGGTTGACTCCTTTGCACCTTGACTCACTTTCCAAATGAACGTGCAACAAATGTGCAGAAAATATTTCCAAACGTGCAAAATTTTTGCAATGTTTTGCAAAAAATAGACCCTTCTCTCCCAGTTGCAGAACTCAATCTTGAGAAAGGCGAAGGGGTTCTAGAGAGACGTTCACAGAACTGGGCAAAAATATATATTTTCCCACCAAGAGTAAATGTGGCTTACAAAGTGGGGCTCACAGCCTGCCCAGCTCTGTAATGGTTTGGCTGGGCTTGGTGCATTTTGCAAACCTGGTTACTTATGGCTTAGTCAATAAAACTTGATGAAACCAACCATAACTTAGCAGGAGGCATGAATCCAATCCCTTTTGGAAAATAGCTGCTATGAGTATCATTGTTTCCCAGCTAAAGTATTTATAATCTGGCGAGAGGAAATATTTTACATTGTAAACAAATGATAAATCTATATTCCTGCTTACTTACTTGTGATAGAAATAAAGAGAAAGTGAGTTGCGACTGGAGAGGCTGGGAAGGTGAGCTTTTTTCCTAACCAGAAAGGCAGATCTACCTGATTTATAATCCCATTATTTCTGCCTGCTAGAGGAAAAGTAAAAGGGAGGAAAAGTGCCAGCCCAGAAATCCTCCACTCTGCAAGTGTTTATATACTGGAAGCTGGTAGCAGATAATCCTGCGGGAGAATTTGTGTCACGTTTCCAACGGCATAAACAAGCCATCTTTTGTTCTCCCATAAACTCGGGGGGATTTACTGCTGTGCACACCCATGCGACACAGGGGCCTCTCTCACAGCGCCACTTATGGCTGGCATGCCACCAAGAGGTCGCTCTGGAGTAATTAATTGGAGAGGTGAGGGCAGAAGGGTGGCTGGCCGAGAATTATGCTTTACGTCTTGGCTTGGCTTGGCCCTGCGAGAACTGGAGAAGCAGAGAAGCCGCCTCTGGAGACGCCCGTTGCTTTGTGTGATCCCCGATGGGAGCCGGAGATGGGGAGGGGAAGGGGGGAGGGAGGGAGGGAAGGGGGGGCTCCTCAGGCAGCCAGGTTCCTCCTAACGTGTCGGGGCACATTGGAAATGGAGCCCCACTTTATGAACCTTCGAAATTCTTCTCGATTCTGGTCTTCCACCGCCCTTTGCTCAGCAGCTCCTGGGCCTTCAGGGCACCTGGCTGGGGACTCTGAAGCTGGCTGGGAGGAAGCCAAACTCTGACCTCCGCCCACCCCTGCGCCTGTCCCCAGCAGGAAAGCACGCGGGATGGTGGCGGAGCCCCTCTCTGTTTTGTTTGAGGCCTCTGTCGCTTGGTCTTTTTTCCCTTTCCTTTTATTGCTATTTCCTTTTTGTGAGCCAGTCGTCTGGAGAGTTGAGCAGCCTCTCCAAGTAATACTATGAAATAAATAATACATAAACACTCCTCTGCACCTCCTTTCTTAAACACCATCCTGATCAGGAGGGAGTGAAATCTAAAGCAGAAGGGAAGAAGCCGACCCAGTTGAAGGAAGGGGGGGAGGGAGGAAGAGAAAGAGAAGAAAAGAAGAGAAAGAAAAGGAAGGAAGGAAAGTTTCAGCATAATGAGGCGGAAAGTGAAGTGAACCTAGAGCATTGGCTCCCTCAGTGCTACAGAAGTTTCTCTCGTTGCAAAAGAAGGAAGACCTCTGGCTTCCAAAAAAGACGCGGAGATATTAGCCCTGAAGCGTTTGCGGTTTGCTCACCTGGGCAGGGACTTGGTTCAGCCTCTGCTTAACTGCATGACATGGGGGGTGGGGGGAGGGGGCAGATCTCCCCCCTCCGCTCCCCAAAGTGGGCTCCTCATTTACTGGACTTGCCAAAGTTGCTTAATGC